CCAGGACAGATGACGAGGGAGAAAAGTCCTCTGATTTGAACAGGGGTGATTTAGTGGCCTCAAGTGACATCCAAAAATAAACTCCAAAATGAAGAATGTACAACTAAGATACTAATTAATAAACATGAGCGCACTCTGCAATGATTTCCCACCGGTGTAATGTGGACGTGCTTGAGTGGGTTACAAGGGCCAATGGGCACCAGGCTGTCTGACGAGGACCATACTGTGTAAGCACTTTTCAGGTAATAAGTGAAAGAGCACTAGTGGTTAAATTACAGCTTGTATGGCTGTCATCAGGGCAATTTGAAGTTAAACATAATCTAGAGTTACTGAAGCCAGGTAGAGTCTGTGCATCAATCTCTATAATTGCTCTTTCTCTTTGTCTCTTTTTGTCTTTTTAACTCTTTGTCTATCCTTGGGTTAAAAAGGGCACGCCACAGTGAATAAAAGTAGAAGAAAAGACTCTAAAATAGGGTCTAAAAGGGTGTAAATGACCCAGGGTTTTTCGGAAAAATCATCAAAATCAGCTCTGAAAAAAATGTGTTTAGGGTATTTTTTGAATCACTGTGGGGGGTCAATTTGACCTGAGGCTAGACAAAGGCTTGGTAATAAAATTTTACTATGCTGAAACAGAAAAAATCCAATTGAATCAGCGTTAAAGGATATCTTTTGTTTCAGATTTTTGCACCAATGCTTAAGGTGAGCCAGAAAAAAATAACTCAAAATAATATTCCAAAAGTTGTTATGACGCATTATTGTCAACTTAAAAGTTACAGAAATGACAGAAAAATGTAGTCTATAATATAAGTTTCTAAAACGTACACGTGCAGTTCACGTTTCTTTACTTGGAGTGTCACTTTATTGTCTAAGTAGGAAATAAAACTTTGAAGTATGTGGAAATAGAGTTTTAAAACCAGATCAGATAAGATAAGATCAGATTAGATTTAATGATGTGGTCGTTTTGAGTTATCTCTGCTGTACTTTGATTACCTCCGATGTTATAAAATGTAATAGTCTTCAGGTCACTGCTCACGTTTCCTTTTCAACGAGCGGCACAAAAATATTTCTTTATTGGCATCGCATAAAGATTTGTTTTCTTATTCGAATCATCCTCATCAAACTCGACAAACTCTCAGTGGACAAGAGAGCCGTAAAAACACACTCTTCAAACATTAGAGCCATAAAAACACTTTCATAGAGAGAGCAAACTTATATTGAGAGGATTTATTTACAATTAGAAACAGCTGACACATTATAAATAATATAAATGTAGAGATATTAGAATGATTTAGCCTTTAAGCAGCTACGGTAAGGAAAGTTTATTTGTGTAGCACAGGTCATACACAAGGTAACTCAAAATACTTAACAAAACTAGATTTAGAGATATATTTTTATTATTTATTTTCTTCCTTTCCCTACTCACACCCTTGAACTTCATGTTTGTTGTTGTACGTGCATATACTAAACTACTCATTCAACAGAAACAAAGTTTTCTGTTTTGGGGAAAAGTGGTCAGATGTAATGCAATATTGTGACTTCATGGTTGGGCAAAGACATAGGTCAGTTATCAAGTTTTTTTAGCAAGATAAAGGTGCACTTTATTAATCCCCGTAGGATAATTTGTCCTCTGCATTTGACCCATCCTGATGCCGCTAAGGCTTACGTCAAGAGCAGTGTTCGCCGTAGTAACAGCGCCCAGGAACCCATCTCCAGATATTGATGCTCGGCTTGGTCAGGACTACCAGAGCTGGAGGATTTTACCTAGTGTGCATGTTTTTAGTGGTTAGTGGCAGAGTACCCAGAGAAAACCTTTGCAGACACGGGGAGAGCATGCAAACTCCACTCAGAAAGTACCCTGTGCTGCCCTCAAATCAACTGAACTAATCTTCATTGCAATTTTTTACAGATCTTTTCTTGTTTTAATCTCGGTTTTGGTCCAGATTCGGTATTCGGCAAACCATAAATATAGTACGAAGTGGTAATTGAACATGTACAGTATACTACCAACTACAAAGTACCAAAACTTCAGATTCAACCAATATGAAATACAAATAATAACAAAATTCACATAATTAAACACCAATCAATGCTTTAGATGCTAGACTTTTTCTGCAAGCTTTTATCTGAAACTGCTATTACTGTATATTTACTGATAGATGCAGGGAATCGTTATATGTCGAAAAAATGAAGACAAGGCAACGGCGATTGCACCTGCACCACGGTTTATTTCTGAGTCCCTCCAGATTGAAGTAAACTTGAGACTTTTTATGTGATTTGTAACAATGTGATCAGAATAGAGACGTCATCACAGAGATATCAATGACTCCTGCTTCAGATATAAATGTTGTAGTGACATTGTGGTCGGAACAAATGCACTCAGTTCTTCAGATAATAATGTTTAGCAGTGACGCAGATATGACAGGGGTCCACAGTACAAAATATGCTGGTCACACTCCTTATCAATATATCAATATCCATATAGTTATAGAGAAAACATAAATATTTCACACAAAACTTTCAAATGTGAGATTATTTCAGCAACACAAAAAAAACAATCACTGTTTGGATAATTTACAGTTTTTAGCTTTTTGTTTCATAAGACATTAAACTTAATAACGGTTTGCAGATCTGTTACATTCTACCACAGAATCTAGTCTGGGCTCTGGCTCAGTTTTCACATCACACAAACCTGTACTTCCCGTTGTCATTTCCCCACTGTGGGACTAGTAAAGGTTTTCTTATCTCTTCCTGAGTTCCTGGAATTACCCTACGGGGATAAATAAAGTGCACCTTTAACTTTACCTTTACCTTCAAATGAAGTTCACAGGGCCAACGTCAGTCTTATCTATATGTGTCCTGCTGGTTTATCAGGTAATAACACATAAACATAGTTAGGACGACCCTACCTGCAGGTCAAAGCCAACTCATGGTAGATTGTAGAGGTTAAGCATGTCAGGGCCTGGTTAGTTCTGTGATGGGAGACCACTGGAAGAACAGGTGCCACACTGGGACTTCTGAGGCTCCAAGTGCAGACTATAATTGTGTCTTGACCCTGTTGGGGGCTGGCTCTCGTCTGGTTGGTGTATCAAGGGTCGTCTCCAGCCCTTTTCACCTGGAGAGCTACTTTCTTATGACTAGAATGAGACAGAGCTACTCCTTTAAGGGTCCGGGGAAAAAGGGGTCTATTTAATGGTGAGAGAAAACTACAATTGTTATTTCTAGTCTATTACATGTTTTCATTTAAAGATGTGGGGGTGTGAATCATAATTGATTTATTATTCTGTTATTGTTATTGTTATCCTTTGGGGAGCTACTTGGAAGGAGGTGGCAAGCGGTAGCTCCCGAACCACAGGTTGGAGACCCCTCGGCCATAACTAGCATATTACTTTTCCCTGCAGAATTGAATACATTTATTGTTCAGACCGGACATAGCTACAAGCTAATTTTCTTCCATAGTCCCTGAGGCAGAGGCAACGTGACAGCAGGTTTACAGTGTGCAAAGAATTGATAAATAGAAAGAATGAATGGCCTAATTCATAAAATACAGGTAAAATACAACACCTCTAATCCCACAGACACAATACAGTATATACAAAACATACAACACACAATTATTTACATCTGACTAATGACTACAGACTTGATTCTCTTTGAGCCAATTTTTTAGGCTGAGTTTAAACTGTCCTAGTGAGCTATTCTCTCGCACGGACAGAGGTAGTGAGTTCCAGGCCACTGCTGCTTTGACAGAGAAACAGTTCTGACCAAATGAGGAGGACCTAAAGTTCACGTAACAGTCTCCCCTGGATGTGGCTCTGATTCTCACCTTCTCACACCTTTTCACGAATGTATTTAGTGGGTGCCAAATTTTGGAAAATTTGGAGGAAGGATGGGTGTATTAGAGAGAGCATGCAGCCTTTGTCTACATTGTGAGGTGTGGGTGTGTGTGTGTGTGTGTGTGTGTGTGTGTATGCGCTACACCATCAATAGTATTGCCACAGTGTACAATACATAGTGAAATAACAGCTCAATGTACCACTAATGTAACACATGGATTGGAGGTTGATATTCACGAAGATCAAGGTGTGTTGCTTAGTCACTCAGCCTTGAGTACAAATCCAAACTATAAAACAATGATTGTGATTGCCCTTCATTACAACACTAATACTTCATTTATGGTACAGGACTTAACACTTTGTTCCCTCTGGTTTATTAACAGAAGTGACAGCAATTACTAACATCTGTTTTTGCGCCATGTTATTTTTCAAACACATTTCTTTTTGACATGGAATAGAACTTTTAAACAAATGCATCGATCTTAAACACTGTCATAAATACAGTTAAAACAAAACATTGAGTTATTTATTCATAATCCTTGCATGTCCAATCTAGGGTTAGATCCAGCTCCTCTCCAACACACATTATTCACTATTGTTTGACACATAGTTTGAGGCGGTTTCCCAGTTCCGATTATAAACAAGGGAAGGAAAAATGTCAAAAGTGCTGCCAACAATAGGACAAGGGAAACAATTTTGACACATAGGAGAGATGTCTAAATGTCACTCTTTTGAAATAAAGTAAGACACATTTAAAGAATAAAAGGAATCCCCATCAAAAGCAGGAGAATATTTTGCCAATAGTTGCTACAGTATGTCAATGTCAAAGCTGACTTCAAAAGCAATAATAAAAGCACGGTGCAAGCTAAGACCAACACATGACCATTGGACTTGTGTGCCGATAAACACCTGCTGAGTTTCAGGGGTGTAAAAATTCGAAAGGAAAAAAAAAAAAAGTTGTGTGAGCCAAGAGGGGAGGAGTGTTCGCATATAAATGATTATACATATCTGTTGAGGTGGACACATCTCACACCATCAGAGGAGAGAAAGTCACTGACCATTTCACCACCTCCAATCTGGGCCTACTCCACTCCATTTTTGGCTTACTTTGCAATTGAGGAAACAAGATCTGGATTATTATCTGCAATTTCTGGACCTAAGGGGGTCATGGATCCGATTGTGGAAGTGGTAGCTCTTGTTTTGGGCTTTATCGGGTGGGTCATGGTGGGGGTGGCTCTGCCCAATCGCCACTGGAGGACCTCAACCGTGGACGGGAATGTCATCACCACGTCCACCATCTATGAGAACCTCTGGATGTCCTGTGCCACGGACTCCACCGGGGTCCACAACTGCCGGGAGTTTCCTTCTCTGCTGAGTTTGAGTGGTATGTTTTCAAGATTCAGGTTAATCGGGCAAAAAATGACAGAAATGTATCTTGGATATAGAAAAAAAAGCTTTCCCATTTGCAAATCTTGTTTTAAGACTCAAGATTCAAGGTACAGTTCAGTGAAGTTAAAGGGTTTTGTCTGGAAAGTTTTACAGGTAACATCACCAAATAGACCAAATTACAGGTTGTGAAGTGGCAAGCACAGTGAAAATATACATCTTTTGTGTTGTATTTAGACATAAAAACAGAGCCTGTAATTGTTTTAATATGATGTATTATTTAATTTGTTATTAAGTACAATACATATGTTAATTCAAATCTGGGAGTACGCATCTTTCTTCTAGACTTATTTTGACTTTTGTCCACAATGATGTCCTTGGAGTACCAATGCTATGGCAGGAGTATAGTGCCCTTTGATGCGACTATTGTAGCGTTTTTCACAAGTTTCAACATCTCTTCTCATTCAAAAGTTTTTATATTTTGTGTATAGTTAATTTTCATGGAACTGCCCTAATTTCCCATCATTTTGAAATACATGGACCGGGCTACGTCATGGGCAACCGTCCAGAAAGTGGGCAAAAACTACAGTAAAATACAGTACTATTCCTACTGTATTTTCCATAGACTTTATAAGAATCCTTCTACAACATTCTACAGTCTCTATGCCCTTATCACATGTACATCACGAGACGCTGATCTCTGTCTGAAGTGAAGTTGTAAAAGAAGATAACCCATATCTTTTCCTTGGTTTTCATGTGGGATCCAGGTTACATCCAGGCGTCTCGTGCCTTGATGATCACAGCCATAGTGCTGGGCTCCTTTGGACTGATGCTGGCTCTCATTGGGATTCAGTGCTCCAAGGCCGGAGGGGAAAACTACATGCTCAAAGGAAGGATAGCCGGGACAGCTGGGGTTCTGTTCATCCTCCAAGGTGAGGGCCACTTTCATTAAAAAACAAAAAAAAGGTGAATTTTATCCGATTGCTTTTAACACAATACATTTTACATTTGTGCAGACATGGACTCTTTCCTTAATTCTTTCATTAGGCCCGAGCCCCGAACGGGGAAAGGGCCTATTGTTTTTGCTTGAGAGATGTCAAATTCTGCAATTTGAGCCTTAATTTGACCCCCTGAACATGAATGAAAAGTTGTAAAATTTTGACCAAACATCAGACCTGGTAAAAAATTTGATATTTTGGTGTTTATTTTTATGGGACTAAAAAAATGCCAGAACAGCGCCATCCACAACAGCCAATGGGAGTTTCAGAGGTCAAATTTGTCGTAGAGCCATGAAATTTGGTACACATGTTCCTCAAGTCAAGACATGAGAAACATTTTATTGTGGCCACGCCCCTTGATAAACAGGAAGCCCATAATTTTCACTGCAAAATGGAAAAATGAACAGCAATAATTTTCATACATGTCGGTTGGAAAGCGACTCCTCCTCGGCCGTTTCACCGATTGGCCTCAAAAACGCTCCACATCATCTCAACACATGTACCGGCAAAATGTGAGTTTTTATTGGCCGTTTTTGACAACATTCTATTTGCTCCCGTTTGCACATACAAATTCCGATTTGCACAAAACTTGAATCCATGGTTCAACTCTAGGGTCTAGGTCATTTGAAAGTGAAATAATTGAACTTGGCTCATTAGTAAGTAAGTAAGTAAGTAAGCTTTATTTATATACCGCCTTTTCACTGCACATCGGAGTCTCAAAGCGGTTTACAATTGTTATTTTTGGGAGTGGGGGGGCCAGTACAAGAGGCACATGCCAGACCTATTGTACATATTTTTAGTGGTAGGGGAAACCAGAGCACCCGGAGGAAACCTACGCAGACACGGGGAGAACATGCAAACTCCACTCAGAAAGGCCCTGGTCCAACCGGGATTCGAACCCAGGACCTTCTTGCTGAGAGGCGAGAGTGCTATCCACTCAGCGCCCCCTACAGACTATTTTAGAGTTTTTAGTATGAAAAAATCTGAAAACTTTGACCCCATCTGTAGGGGACGCTAATGAGCCAATTTCTTTTATTTCACTTTCAGTTGACCTAGACCCTAGAGTTGAACAATGTAATAAAGTTTTGTGCAAATGTGACTTTGTATGTGCAAACGGGAGCAAATTTAATATTGTCCAAAACGGCCAAAAAAATGAAAAATCACCAAAATAATTTTGAAGGTACATGTGTTGAGATGATGTGGAGCGATTTTGAGGCGAATCGGTGAAACGGCCGAGGAGGAGTCGCTTTCCAACCGACATGTATGAAAATGATTGCTGTTCATTTTTCCATTTTGCAGTGAAATTTATGGGCTTCCTGTTTGTCAGAGGGCGGGGCCAGAGTAACATTTTTTTCATGTCTTGACTTGAGGAACATGTGTACCAAATTTCATGGCTCTACGACAAACTTGACCTCCGAAAACTCCCATAGGGGTATTATTAGGCCCAAGCCCCGAACGGAGAAAGGGCCTATTGTTTTTGCTCGAGAGATGTCAAATTCTGTCATCTCTGCGGTGCGGGGAGTCGCGCGGTGTGGCGAGGGCCGTTTGACCCCGCTTGCGGCTTTAATTTTTCTTGCTCTTATAATATCTAGATGCATATGATTGGGGTTGCATCAGTAAACATGTATATAATGGGAATTTAAATACCTTTTAAAAAGAAAAAACAGTTTTGAGAGACCATACACATAAGTGAGAAATTAAATCACATATTTTTCTACTGTGTCACTAGTTGAAATATTTTGTTTGTGATTGTCCTAAATAGATTGCGATTGTTTTTGTAGTGTTTTGTGATTTCTCTCAATGAACAAAAAACTACATTCAACATTATGATCTATGTTTTACTCCCTAGGTACTTGCACAATGATCGCTGTGTCGTGGTATGCCTTCAATATCACCCAAGAATTCTTTAACCCTCTTTATGTTGGGACAAAGTAAGTTTCTGAAGTCTCTTGTATGTTGAAGTGATACACACAACGGTGATTCAAACCTACATGTTGCAGATATGAAATCGGAGAGGGCCTGTATATTGGCTGGTGCTCTGGGGTGATGGCCATCGCGGGTGGGGCTTGTCTCACCTGCTCCTGCAAAATGGCAACAGAAGAGAAACAGTGAGTTCAGTCTGATTGATTCCAGGTTATTTCTGTCTGCAAAACACTGTACAGAAAGCCCACAGTGGCACCGTAGCAACAGAAAGGAGAGAATTTGTTAAGAATTTGTGTCCACCCAAAAACACATTTATAATTAAAACGGCATTGATGAAATATGTAACCTCTTATCACGGTAAGAATCTGCAAACGATCGAACTGAATCTGTCTATAAGAAACATTTGCAGTTGTATAGCACAGCTGCTATATAACAAATGGTCTGTAGTTTTGGCCTTTTAATGGATTTACTCTGATTATAGGTGGGACAACTCTGCACAGGGAAAAATCAAACTCCCAATTCTGCCCACATGTGTTTGATTAATATAAAGTTTAGTATATAATTGGGGTCTGGGGGTTGGGTCTAATTTGTGTAATCAAGAAAGTATTTATTACCAACTTATTTTGTTCAAGCAGCATAACATAAAACAAACAAGATACAAAAGTACGACTTGAAAAATACAGTTTGAACAGGGGTTGGATGAAGCAAATGCTTTTTGGGGTCCAACCCGTCTTACTGTAGAAACTTTTGGGCAACTACTTTTTTAACCATCAACTAATTTGACAAAGTGTGATTTAAGGACCTGAACTAAAGCAAGCATTTTGAATACATGTAAATAACCTAAAACAGGTTGTTAAAAAGTAGATTTTGGTTTGACAAAGTGTGGGCACCCCTATATTAACAGATATATGAGCAGAAGAATCTAAAATGTTGCAAAGAAAGTGTTCATGCCTCTATCTATTTTGTCCTAAAATAGTTAATCATTCACAACTAGTGAAATAGCAACTCAGCTGCATAAGCTATATTAGCCTTTGCCCTTTCCAGGAAACTTGACTCCATAAATCTGTCTGTTTTTGCAATCTTTAGAAAAATATAACACATGGAATTTTAAGATTCACTGCAATAAATAAGGGAAAAGACACAAATTATGCTGTATCCCGTGTTATTAAAATATAAGACTCTAACAGAGAGAAGGACGAGTTGGGATTTTTGCCGAGACCGTTTTAACTCTTTTACGCCTCGTAGTGGTGAAGTTTGAAATGTACATCTTTGGAATTGTGTGAATTTTATCATTAGAAGTGGTACATGTTAAACTTGATTTATCATTATAATTTTAACCTTTTCATACGTTTTGCTTCTATTTTTTCATTTATTTTTCATTAATAGGTTAATTACTATACAGTAAATATACTGTATCTACTGTTTTTACAGTACCAGCACATCTACTATGTTTTGTTATTTTGACTAATAGAGGCACCTACAACAAAACCAAAATAGCTTAAGTACAATCATCTCTACTTCAGCTTTCAACAATTATTGATAGAGATTCAAGATTCAGTTTATGCAAATAAACGGAATCTTGAATCTATCTTCATTTGCAGTAAAATCATATTGGAATAACTGTGCAAGACTACTCCAGTGTGCATAGAATATAGTTATGCGGAAGAGTGGACACTGATAACTGTTTATGCTTAACCTAATTCTGTGATATTTGTGTGTGTTCAGCTCGTTGCCGTATCACAGCAGGGGGACCGTCTACTCTGCTGCAGCCCGAAGTGCAGCCACCCGCAATACTGCTGCCAGCACTTATGGACGCAATGCTTATGTCTAAAGGATCAAGAGAAAACTGTGGGAGGCTGTTGCATGGTTGAGGTTCAGGTCTACAAATTGTTGTACAAAGTTATTGATTTTTGTTTTGCCTAATGTGTTTTGTATCATATCATGTTTGATTTGTTTTCACAAATAATGTTGGCATGCGAGCGGCATGCATATTTGTGCTGTACAGTTTTTTTGTTTATTAAAGAAACATTTGTTTTATTTGTTGTTATTATTATTTTTTACAATAACGAGTCAATTTTGTTTATCTATGACTCAACTCATGCTCTATGTGGTGTCATTTAATTGCTAATACTAGGCCATAATAATACTTCTAATACCTTGCCTGACCACACAGAACTGTACGATCTCACAATAATTTTAAATCAGTAGGCTGGTCACGCAAACTGATAACAAAAAGCAATCAATTAAAAATAAAAGTATGTTCTGAATGTGTACAGTGGCCCAGAAATGGCTTGGCCTCGGATCTGGAAGTGACCTTTGCTGTTATTATATAGCCCTGTGTGGTCCTACTACAAGATCAGAGGACCGCAAGCGAAAGTGCAAGTTAAAAAAATCTGTCCAATTAGAGCAGACCACGTTTTGGGACCAACACGGAAGCGCAGCAGACAGACCAATCCTGGGAATGTAGGGCAGGAAGGAGGGCGACACTGGCGGCCAGAGCAATAAGACAAGAAGATTGTACGAAGACGCCGCTCTGCTTGGCTTTTCTTGTGAAATGTTACAAAGGTTAAGTTAAGCGTAGTTACTGAGACAGCAATGAAGACTGTGAATTATTAAAACCAGCGGAACCTCTTCGCGAAGGGGGCTTTTCCACACGGACCACTAGACAGTGGGACAGTAAATACACTCGTCGTTTTAATCGGAACAGGAGATGGATCGCTGAAAGGACATCTGTAAATAACGTAAATGTGTAATTGAACGGAAAAGGGGTTGTTTCGCTGTCACATTGCGGTTAAAGCGGGTAATGGAGGCTTGTCGTCGGGCTGGAGTCAGCGGATTCCTCTGGTCTCTGTCACTGCTCTGTGTCCTCCTGGACCTCCAGCTGGACGGTGAGCTCGGGTTACTAATACCTTCCAAACATTACTGCTGTTGCTATCTGCTCAAGGCGTGATTCAGAGTCACTCATATGTTTGGTTTGTAATATGTCTAATGTCCTGCCACGACACTTAGCTTTGAGACGAGCATCCTTCCAGGATGTATCTTACACGTATGTTGTCTTATACTATACTAAAAAGTGAATCGTGCAGTGATAAATTCAACACATTATATTGCATATTGATATGTATCTGTAGATTCTACTCAAAGTTTTTAATTTTCAATTGCATCTACTCAATTCTATCTAATTTATGACAAAAATAAAGACGACACATCGGTGATAATCAAATACGGAAGCAGAGTTAGCGCACGAGTCATTTAGGTTGCAAGTTTATTTTGGAGTTTAGCTCCAGATGTTTTTCTCACTGCCTAAACCCCTGCAGCGCATGTGTCAGAAGTGTTTAGAGATTGTCAATGTAATTATTTGAATAAACCAGTAAAAGCACAAACTTAACACTGTTCCAATAATTTTGTTTTTGCCTTACAGGTGTTCTGGGTGCAACTCAAGTGGAGATTGAGCACCACTTGGAGATGGGCCGCAAGCTCCTGGCTGCTGGTCAGCTGGCTGAAGCCTTGTCCCACTACCACTCTGCTGTGGGTAAGGTTTCACACTTAGGTTCTTTTCGCACAGGCCGTGATCTGGTGCAGTTGTTCTGGATCAACTCTGTATCCAGGTTGTGCATTGAAATGTATGTTATAAAAATAGTTAATACTTACAGTATGCTGATATTTGCAGTGAAAGGCCTATGGCCAGAATGTTTTCCAGCATTATAAAAATGTGTTAACCTTGTACAGCAGCTGAATTCTCATCATACACAAAGCCATATTACTGGCATGAGCAAGGTTATAAATTAATATAACCTGTCTGATTTGGATCCCTGCTATAATCTGTTTACTTGTTTTTTTCAGAAGGGGATTCTAAAAATTATTTGACTTATTACAAGAGGGCAGCAGTGTTCCTCGCCATGGGGAAGTCCAAATCTGCTCTGCCAGACCTGACCAGAGCCATTCAGCTCAAGCCGGACTTTCTAGCGGTATGTGCTAGTCCATTGTACTGTATCTAATGTGACGGAGTAGTATCTATTGTTTTAATATTTATGTACTTGTCTCCTCTTTCCTAGGCCAGGCTGCAAAGAGGGAATATACTACTGAAACAGGGGAACTCTCAGGAAGCCCATGAGGACTTTAAGATCGTGGTAGATTAAGAGTTTTTATAAGAGAGCTGGTTCCACAGCTTTGTTGTTAATAATGGTTTGGGGTAAAAAAGTATTCATGGTTTTGCCTTTTTGCCTCCCTGCAGTTACAACGCGATCCAGACAGTGTAGAAGCTCATGATCAATTGAAGATGACGAGGGAGCTGGAAGAGCTGCAAGAGGAAGCTAATGCTGCGTATCACCAAGGCGACTACAGTAACACCGTTCATCTCCTTGAACGGGTCATAGAGGTGTGTTTTACCAGACCCTGCATTACATAATTGACCAGGCCCTTAGCTACGTCGCCACAAAATAATGTTCTAAATTAATATATATAATCCAACTGATGACTGCTGCCGTTGTGTCCTTGGGCAAGGCACTTAACCCCACTTTTCCTGAAGCCCCCACTGAAAGATCAAGGCTCCTGTGGACGCACCACCTGCAGGAGGATCAGTGAGGGGCTGGTGCTCTGTGGACTGGGTGCAGCTCTGCCACCCCCCCGACCCAGAAATGGATTAAGGGGAAGAAAATGGATGGATGGATTATATATACAAACTGTGACAACAATAACTCAAGAATTCAACAACAAATGTTAAGGCATAAGTGAAGTATTCTGTTTCCTTCAGATAGCACCATGGGATCCTGAATCGCGAGAGCTCCGAGCCGACTGTTACATCCGTATGGGCGACCCACAGAAGGCCCTCCAGGATCTGGCCCCAACCACAAGGCTCCGTAATGACAACCGCGCTGCTTTCCTCAAGATGAGCCAGCTGCACTACAGCCTGGGAGAGCACCACAACTCCTTAAAGTATGCAAATAAACAAATGTCATGCAAAGTTTCTGATCTGGAATGGGCTGGTGCGTTTGTTCTTGTTCACCACTCGTATGTTTATTTATCTGCAGCCAGATTAGGGAGTGTTTGAAGTTGGACCAGGACGATAAGGAGTGTTTGAGTCACTACAGACAGGTGAAAAGACTCAGCAAGCAGCTCGACTCAGCCGAAGAGCTGATCCAAGAGCAGAGGTTTGTTTGGAGAGGATTTCTTTAATTCAAAGTTCAAAGTGGCCTGATTTAACCTACTGTGGATGTGCCTATTAGGTTTCACGACGCAATAGAAAAATATGAATCCGTAATGAAGACCGAGCCAAATGTCATGTACTACACCAACCTCGCAAAAGAGAGGATCTGTTTTTGTCTAGTTAAGGTAAATATATTGTTAAAAATGCAAGTTTTTTTCACTTATTTACAAAACTTAATTTCTTTTCAGGAAAAATTGGCACTTGAAGCTATTGATGCATGTTCAGAAGCTCACCAGAGAGAACCACGGAATGCCCATATTCTTAGAGACAGAGCAGAAGCTTTTATCCTCAATCAAGACTATGAAAAAGGTTAGACTGGTGTGCTTTTTTTCCCACCGATGTGCAAAGAGTAAAATATTGTTCCTCTTTGTGTTTAGCTGTGGATGATTATCAAGAGGCGAGGGAGTTTGATGGTGACAGCAATGAAATTCGAGAGGGTCTGGAAAAGGCTCAGAGACTACTGAAACTCTCCCGCAAAAGAGACTACTATAAAATTCTAGGGGTTGGCAGGTAAGAAAAACAATTAAACTCTGACTTTAAGAACTGTAGTTGTAAAGAAACCTTCCCTTTTCCCTTTAGAAATGCCAATAAGCAGGAAATTACTAAAGCTTACAGGAAGCTTGCTCAACAATGGCACCCTGATAACTTTCAATCAGAATCAGAGAAAAAGGAAGCGGAAAAGAAATTCATCGACATTGCATCTGCTAAAGAGGTCCTGACCGATCCAGGTAAGAGGTGTCTAACTACTGCAGGTTCATCATATGCTCTTCCTTTAGTATTCAAACATGATTGGATTATAATTGGATATTCTTTGTATTTTCAGAAATGAGGCAGAAGTTTGATCAAGGTGAAGATCCACTCGATCCTGAGAATCAGCAGGGCGGAGGCGGTGGACAAGGTGGACAAAACTGGCCTTTCCATTTCAACCCTTTTGAATCTGGAGGCAGCTTCCATTTTAAGTTCCAATACAATTAGAGACATGCTCTTTATGGACTTCTTGGATCCTGGGTTGTTATGCCTTTTTGTAGAGTTTGGACTTTTGCAAACTCTAGATATTTTTTAAATACGAAGGACTTGCAAAGTTACAGTTGAATGGGTTTGTGGTTGAAGATAACTGAGCCTCATTTTTTATCCAAAACTGTAACGCACTGTTTCACCAATGGTTTGTTTGCGCCATTTTAAGGATTGTCTGCTCCCTTGCATTAAGATTGTTTCCATGTCACAGGCTTCCTGCTGCAGTATTCCAAAAACAGGACGATAGTGTGCTGCTCAACGCTATTAAAGACTTGACACTTCTAGGAAAACAAAGAGGATTTCGGAAATCCGGGGTGACGGTGTCAGTCTTAATTTTAAATACATTGTATTTAATTTTAAGTACATTTGGAGATTATTATTTATTTATTTTGGGAAGTTTGAATTGTAATGGTTTGTTACATTGCCATAATCAAGTAGCTATTTATGAATAAGCCCGTTTGAGTTTTCCTAATTCAACAACCTGTCAATGAAAATGTCTGTTACATTTTTTTGCGAACCACTCCATTTATTCTTCAGTCCTTACTGTGAGCTTTATAAAAGCAGATAATGTGACTCCAGTGGCTCAGAGCCTCATTCATGTAAAGGTCAAACAGATCAGTGCACTCAGGTTAGTCAGTGTAACTGATCTTGATTTGAGCACCTCTAAGAACGCAGTTATGTGATGCAAATTATACCCTTTAAAAGGTGTATTTGAATAAAAAAAAAACAGCACTACTTTGTGGAATCTGGGAATGTTTATTATAACATGCTCGCTGTGTGAACCCTGTGAAATGTTTATTTAAATCAATTCTTTTTTCTGTGGCCAACGATGACTGAGCTGGAGATAAATTATTATTCGTCCCCTAAAACTGTCCATAACTTTATCCATTGGCAAATGTTCCACAAATGTTTTGATGTGGTATATAATGAGTTACAATTAAAGTTCAATTCTGATTTTTTCTTGGTGTCTGTCCGTTAGTCAGATGACCCAGAGTGTACATCCAAACAAAACAAGTGTCATTGGTTCAACACAAAGCGTTATGTGTTTTCCAGGCTGTCCGACTCCACTTCAATAGAAACTATATGGTGCCCTGGAATCATAGCCAGTCCAAGGACTCGAGGTTCCCCTTGAGAAAACGTGTCTACAAAGAGAAAAACAAATTGGTCTCACATTTCCATGTCATAGTCTTAATTTGCTCAGTTAACCTTGAGGAGCATGTATGTAGCACCTTAAAACGTCTATAAGTTCAAATTAATGTTGAAGATAAAAGACCTACCTGTAGACTTAAGGAATTCCTGTGCTGAACCAAGTATGACATTACAGTCTCTGTCTGTGCAAAGGAAAAGTCCAACTAGAGTCCGTCCATCTGTCATGCGGATCCTCATGTTCTTGTTGAGAAGTCCTTCTAGTTTCGGTGTGGTCTGGGACTGCGATGGGACTGGGGGCTGCAAGTAAAAATACTGTATACATTAACATGCGATTGACAATTCATGTTATTATACACTGCATGATGTAATCAACACCATAGTTTAACGTCGTTGATGATCATGCATAATATTGGATGGTCAAAAACATCAGTTAGGTTCAGATACATCTTTGTGGTTAAGGTTAGGAAAGTTAATACATTGTTTTGCTAAGGCTAAACTTTGATAAAAATATATATATATACCGAGGCCTTTTTATTCAATAGGTATTATAGGCCTATCGGTCATCGTTGTGCATAATAGGATATAAAACGAGCGAGGGTGGTAAAGGCACAGCCCTAGTAAGCCTCCATAATATTAATATTACAATTATTTAATCTAGCTAGCCTCGGTAAGCCTCTTGTCTTGCTAGCCCACAGTACATTTCCAATAAATTCAATTGAAACAATACAAGTAATGTACCCGTTTTATAATATATCTAATTCAAAATAAAAGAAGCTTACAAGCGTCGAAGGACCATTTTCTTCAAACATTGCGGCCATTCGTGTTTTCGTTAGCTTTGGCCGAGGGAAGGATTTCCACGACGGACCTTAGAAACCGGAAGTTGTCATCAGAATTGAAAACTAAAATAGTCGTTTATCATAGATGCATTATATTGACATTTAAATATACATCCTATTTAATTTGACAATATATGTTAATCAATTTATACATAAAACCTGAAACTGATGAAAGTTCAATAACAGTTGGCTGCTAGGTCAACAAGAGATCATGAACTCACAAGCTCAAAAGTAGGTTAGGGCCTATTCTTGCGTTTGTGGCTAACTATCTTCAGCTTTGTGAGGAATCTACTGATTACAATAAACTAATTATAGTTAGTTAGTTAGTTGGCCATCCATCCATTTTCAGGGGGGGGGTCCACAGGAGGATGGCTGCTCTCAGCGATGTCACAACCCTCATCTTTCAGTGGGGGGCTTCAGGCAAAGTGGGGTTTAGTGTCTTTCCCATGGACACAACAACAGCAGACATCAGTGGAAGTAGGCGCAGAAGGTCTTGTGGTGGGCTGGGGTGAGTAGCTTGTAACTTAAATTACACACACCGATCATGTTGCATATCAATGGCTCATAATAATTAATAATGTGAAATATTAATAAAACAAAAAAAGTACTTTATAAATTTAACTGAGGGAATTTACTGATCATAATCTTATGTCTTCTACGAAATGAGTTTTACACTAGAATGTATTAGCTAACAACTAAGTGTGTTTTTTTACATGTATTGCATTGGTTTATGTGAGTGTTAGTATAAAGGTCAAAACTAGACAAAGCTGAGCGTTCATTTTCAGCTTGTTTGTTCTTCTTCACAATATCACACATTTACTCATACATTGAGTTTGTATCAATTTTTGTGACACTGAGAAAAAAAAGTAATTTAAGTCCAACATCTTGATTGATTGAATTATAATATTTCTTTCTTGTGTACAAGTCTCTCCATGGCCTCGCACCAAAATATATTAGTGACATGTTAGTCCCATATGAACCGGCCCGGACTCTGAGGAGCACAGGGACTGGACTCCTGTTAGTGCCCAGAGTCAGAACTAAACATGGGGAGGCTGCTTTTCAGATTCATGCTGCTAAAATATGGAACAATCTTCCTGAAGATGTGAGACAGGCCTCCTCTCTGACAATGTTTAAAACCAGGTTAAAGACAGTTCTGTTTAGCTGTGCATACAACTGAGGAATTGTATATTGTATGTTTTTACCTTTCTTTTTAATGTACTGTGATTATTTATGATTTTAACGCTTTGTTATTTTGTTCAGCACTTTGAGTTGCCTTGTGTATGAATTGTGCTATACAAATAAACTTTCCTTGCCTTGCCTTGCCTTTCATTAGTGTTCAAAGTGTTTCTCATATGTATTCTGCTGTCTTGTGTATTAGTACAGAGTGGACTCCACACCAGCCCGTGGCCTTCACTTGGATTTTCCTGGTCTTCCTTCATCGCCTACTCTCTGGGTTACCTGAGTTCAGAGTCACATTGCTCAGCTCTGAATGGTTCACAGGAGCTGTGTCTTCCTCTGTGTCACAACTGAATAAAATCTGGGTTAGCGAGTGTGCAGCTCCCAGGGGAGGCGCCTTTCCCTCTCATCCTCGGCATGTCTGCCAAACGGACACAGGGTGCTGAGAGAGAGGAGTCAGCGCTCCACACTGGAGCACTGTGTCAGGGCCTGCGGCTTATGACTAGAACTCGAGCTTCATTTTTGCAAAGACATTGTAAGACACTCAAGTAAAGTCATGTACCGAGCCTTACTGACACCGTGGGTATTTCTGCTGATGTCTCGCCAGCCTCTCCTTTGGCAGCCTGAGTCTCCTCTGTGGCCAGAGGCTTAGTGGGGGTCTGCAGCCTGACATGCACTGCCTCTTTTCTGCTTGTGTTAAGGTCTTGGCAGATGTGGCCATTGGATCAGGCACTAACAAATTCCTCTCTCTGTTGTGGCAGCAGGGATGCCGACACCTGTTGCAGCTGAGCAAAACACAAGCACATGGGCCATGACTACCAGCCCTGTCACAGAAAACCACCAAGAGCTGGAAAGGATTCCTCATGATCACGTATAGGTAATTTTGATACAACTGATACATGTGTTATCTTCACTAGACATTTGTCTTAGTCATAAATGTGTCATTCCCAAACTCATGTCATGGGTCAGGGTCTTGTGGGTCTTTCAAATAGTAATTCATTTTTATTTGAAATTAACAAATTGATCACTGAGATAAACTAATATGAGGTTATTTTAGTGCATTGTATATAATTATTTAATAAGTGTTTTGTTATTATAATTTGTTGTCACTCGTAACAAAATTCTCATTACATAATGATATAAATGATAACAGCAATGATAGAAAGCATTGCCTTGCAGCTTACAGTGTGTTTTACACTAACAATGCACTTAGCTTTGGATGTGAAATGCAAATTGCAAAGTCAAAACAAGAGCTCCCAGTGCAGCCACCCATGCTTTGCAGGGGTCTAGGGATTCCCATGGCCTCACTGCCATCCAGTTATTCAGGCTTTTTGGTGCTTCCCAATACTGTAAGTGCTCACTGTACCACTGACTGCATTTTCACTCTTGCATTTGGGAGATGGATTGTGCTCTGCGCGCTGGGTATTATTAGTCTTTGAATGTAAAAATAGTAGTTTGTATACCCTGTCTTGTTTTCTTCCCCACCACAAGTAGTTAATTTTTAAGCAATACAATCTGATGTAAGTCTGGGCATGGCTGCGGCAGATTTTCCCAACCCCCCTCTCGCTCATTCCCTCCCCAGCACTCGCACACACAACCCCGCTGCTCCAAAATAATTCTTTATCCAGCGGTGGGGGCTCCGGAGACTGTAAGGTGGCCATATTTGATAGATTTGTGCAATGCAGAAAGCGAGAGCGTGTTGTGATCGTGCAAGTGACATCAGGCGAGGCAAGTCTGCGGCCGGGTTCGTGACTGATCTGGACTTAGGGAGGGGGCAGAAAGGGAAAAGAAACAAACAACTAACAATATAACTTACATGCAGCCACACACCCCTTTTCTCTTGTAACAATGTGTACGTTTTTATGGAGGGAGGGGGCCCGCAGAGTGAGAAAGAGAGAGACGGGGAGAGATAGAGAAAGGAGGAGGGGGTGCGTTCTGAAATAATATAGTCAGCCATTTTTTATGTAAGGGGATTTTTTCTTATTGGGGGGGTTGTTAAAAAATAAATATAAGAGGGCGGCCATCTTTGTTGCTCTGCCTAGTGTAAAATATTCCAAAACGCCCCCCACTTTTTTCTGTGCCGATTTGAATATTAAATAAATATCACAGAATTCGCTTTTTGAATACAAGGACGGCGCCAATGACAGGGATATAATGTCATCTCCTCTCCGCTCCTTTGAGGAAGACGAGGGCATGGTGGTTAATTCCGAGGGAGGGGATTTTGATGAAGAAGACGACGAGGGAGACCTAGACGAAAACGACATCAACTCACCGGCAACGCTACGGGAAACGGCAACAGCCACCTCCGCTGCAGCCGCCGCGCCAGGTACAGTACGGACGGAGCTGGCCCCGGGCGCGCACCGAGTCACAACACTGACCATAAGGCGTGAAAAACCTGCGTTAAAAGTCGCCCCCCAAAGAGCTGAGACGTATCCGTGCAGAGATTACATTATAGCGATGTGGGGAATAGATCCACACAGCATTTAAGGAATTTATCACAGCTTTTTTTGTCATTTTGTGCAAGAATGTTTCCCGAAAAAAAGATGCACGAAGTTTCTCCCTCATAAAGCATCCTTCAAAGGCGCGCCACTCGTTGTTTGTCTGCTGGCTCAGAGGAAAGCATGCACGACAAAGCGCTTTATGCAGTTTTGTCACTGATCCCTAATGTTAGACGCATGTGTTTCTGTGTTTATATCCAAGTTCTTCAAAGGACTTCCTCGTCCCCGCGGCTCGTCTCTGCAAAGTTCCAACTCGCTCTCCCTGTGTGTGTCCGCGGTGGTAGTCTCCTTTCTCTAGTTCTTAAATCATGTGCTACATTCCTTCGCAGACATGCATGTCATATGTAAATGAGGCTGTGTGCAGGGGTAATAAGGTCGCCCTGAAGGGTAAAATGCTCTCGGCATGAAAGACTGGCACCAACATGGACTCCCACTGCCCCAGGCTACACCATACTCCTTCATGATGTCTAGTTCACTTCTGCACACACATCAAGCCGCTGACTAGTGTGAAATGATGGTGTGAGACAAATAGCCTTTCCTGCCCCCCTCTGTGCCTCTGTGACAGGTCAATATGGGGCAACAGAGCTTCTTGCTTTCTATTGCTTAGCCTTAGCACACCGGCTGATGAGCTCAGGTGGTAGTTTTTGCTGCCAGGTGCAGTTTGTGTGGTGGCCCATTGACTTGCAGCTGTGTGATTGAATGCATGTGATTCCCTGGAAGTTTCTTTTTGAACTTACAGTAAAGTCACGTTTGGATAAAGTGCATGTCTATCTAATGTGGTCGCAGATTGTAAGACACCACTGCGTGTTGTAAAAGTGAATAGTCTGCCTCCATGCAGACAGATACACTGTGTAAAGGATTCACCCTCTCCCCTCCTCATCAGTGTTTGCTGTTCCGCTGTTCTCTCCGTGGTTCTCTCCGTGGCTCAGCGGCCTCTGCATCACCGAGTCCTGCGTGAGCGCTGCTGCCGCCCCCGGCCTGTGTGGAGCGGCAGCAGCGCGCACTGAGAGGCGGGAGCAGAGAGCAGAGAGCGGGGAGCGGGGCTGTTTAATGGGGTGGGGGTGAGGTGGGGGTGAGGGTGGAAGAGCACCGACAATGGCAGCCTGATAACCACTCCTGCAGCGCACAGCCCGTGTTTGGGTGTCTGCTTTGTGCTTTCTGCTTTTCTCTAACGCTGGAACGGAATTCAGAGCTCTTCTTGTATCTTCCGACTCCAGTCAGGTTGCAGGTTTAATTGCCTCGCCTGCGGTTATTATATTGCACCAAGGGAATTTGGTTATAGCTCACGCAGACTGTTAATGTTTATTAAAAACATGTAGTTGCAAGTTAATGTTGATCCACTATGAAACTTTTCTGGTATAGGGTCCCTCACCCAGTTGTGTCCATAGAGTTGTTAGTGCTGTCATTACCAATCGCATGTATTCTGTTATCACTATTCAGTTATAGGCACTTTTATAGCTAAATACCCACAGTCTGTGGTGAGTGGCCAATCCAGACTGTAACTTGAGAGTCCTCTGAGTCTCTTCGTTGAAATATAGACATTTAAATATATATTGTAAAATGTTCCAGGCAAATCAATTACTTCGGAAATCAGTCAACGTTTAAAGGGGACTCATGTTAAATAGTGTATGTGCTCTTGTCTTGTTATATTCCCAAAAGATGATCTTGTGGTAGTTTGATTGTTCATTTATTCACTCTCTAATAAGGACACAGGTCTGGACATGTGATCCTGGGATAATGTAAAATTAAAAGATAAAATTGATATACAGTAAAGAGTGCTGCTCCGTCCTTAGGCAAGACACTTCACCCACATTGCCTGGTATGAGTCTCACTTCTGTCAGTGTGCCCCAGGGCAGCTGTGACTATAGTAGTAGTCTAGTACCACTGTGTATGGATTGAATTGATAATGACATATGAAGCATAAGAATAGGAATTTGTTTTGGCTCAAGATGCAAACCAGTTATAAAAGTAAGAATCTTTTAGTATCGAGAAATGCGCAACATAAAACAAATGCACTTTTTTTTATTCCTGTATTAGAAAATATGTAGTGTTTTAAAATGCAAGAAAAATCGGTTTATTGGCATGATCTGGCATGCCCGGTCCGACATCTGCATCATGTCTGTCCTCGTTCTGTAGCCTAAGTCCTGGATCTACAGGCCGTCCGTCCGTGGGAGCAGATCCCTGGGTTTTAGAGTTGTTCCTTGCCGATGCAGGAGGGTCTATAAGGACAGTGGACAAAACAGGAAACTCAACATTCAACAACATTTATGGACATTGGTCATTTGTTTGATTCTCTGATCTGTGTTGGCAAATTGAACGGTTGTGTAAAGTCCTCAGAGATAACTACTGTACAAGAATAAGTTGAATTGAATGATTTCAGTCAAAAATCAAAATTAAAAGCGTCTGAATGTGAATGGGAGCTGCCAATATGAAGCGGTGCTTTCTGGAACATCTATGGCCCTGTTTATAGCACCATATTCATGAACAAAAACAAAAAGCATTTGTGTGGTTTATTTGTAAAAAATCAATAAAGAATGACACACCTATAAGATATGCTAAACTAAATGGCAAAACTGATTATATTTATTGAAACAAAACTTGTCTTTTGAAGCTTGTTGCGCCTGTTCCATTGAAAAGCCACGCGCTGCCGGATCCACTTAACAGCTTGACAAACCGTAACCAATTTAATAAATGTCCCCATTCAGATGAGGTAAAGAATCCCCAAAGCGACTTAAGCCACTTTTGTTGTGGATACATCGAGTACTTTAAAAACATCTCTATTTAACCTTTTGTCTCCAAATCTTTTCAGGAGACGAGTGTAATTTATCAGACAGAGAAGTTCCCGTAAAGAAAAAAGGTCGTCCGAAGAAAAAGGACGCCAAGAAGAAAGATGGAAAAGCAGTTAAAACAAAAAAGCGGAAAAAGATAGTAAGTCTCTTCAGTTGTTATTTATACGTATTTGTCTTACTGTCATTAGAGACTGTGTTTTGCTTTTCCAGGACAGTGATATAGAAAGAGACTCAGATCGAGACAGAGACTTTGGGAACAATTCGGACAGTTTGGCCAGTGACTATGGATCTGGGGACAAAAAGAAAAAGAAGAAACATAAAGAAAGGAAGGAAAAGAAAACAAAAAAGAAGAAAAAAGATGATGGAGACCGGGACAGCAGTCAAGAGGAGACGACAAAGGTACAATTATCTGTGGCACAAATCAATTACATGTCGTTTATTCATGATTCATGTTTTGTGTGTTCCTTAGCAACCCATTGAGCATAAAACGTCAGCTCAGCTGGCAAAAGAGTGGGGTCTGGAGGATGTTGATCATACCTTCACAGAAGAGGACTACAGAGAACTCACAAATTACAAAGCCTTCAGCCAATTCATGCGGTAACTCATTGTTTGAAAGAATTGAGAAAAGTCTAAGAACAAATTAAGTTGCTATGACCAGCTCACATGCATCAGATTCCATATACATGTGTATTGTAATCCACATGACGTATATCCCTGAAGACCATACCTTTTTTTGGATTTAAAATTAAACTAATAGGCCACATATACAGTGCCTTGCGAAAGTATTCGGCCCCCTTGAACCTTTCAACATTTCGCCACATTTCAGGCTTCAAACATAAAGATATAAAAATTACAAATTTTGTCAAGAATCAACAACAAGTGGGACACAATCGTGAAGTGGAACAACATGTATTGGATAATTTAAACTTTTTTAACAAAAAAAAAACTGAAAAGTGGGGTGTGCAATATTATTCGGCCCCCTTGCGCTAATACTTTGTAGCGCCACCTTTTGCTGCAATTACAGCTGCAAGTCGCTTGGGTTATGTCTCTATCAGTTTTGCACATCGAGAGACTGGAATTCTTGCCCATTCTTCTTTGCAAAACAGCTCGAGCTCAGTGAGGTTGGATGGAGAGCGTTTGTGAACAGCAGTCTTCAGCTCTTTCCACAGATTCTCGATTGGATTCAGGTCTGGACTTTGACTTGGCCATTCTAACACCTGGATACGTCTATTTGTGATCCATTCCATTGTAGATTTGGCTTTATGTTTTGGATCATTGTCCTGTTGGAAGATAAATCTCCGTCCCAGTCTCAGGTCTTTTGCAGACTCCAACAGGTTTTCTTCCAGAATGGTCCTGTATTTGGCTCCATCCATCTTCCCATCAATTTTAGCCATCTTCCCTGTCCCTGCTGAAGAAAAGCAGGCCCAAAGCATGATGCTGCCACCACCATGTTTGACAGTGGGGATGGTGTGTTCAGGGTGATGAGCTGTGTTGCTTTTACGCCAAACATATCGTTTTGCATTGTGGCCAAAAAGTTCGATTTTGGTTTCATCTGACCAGAGCACCTTCTTCCACATGTTTGGTGTGTCTCCCAGGTGGCTTGTGGCAAACTTTAAACCAGACTTTTTATGGATATCTTTGAGAAATTCCATGCCTTCCATAAAGGCCAGATTTGTGCAGTGCACGACTGATTGTTGTCCTATGGACAGACTCTCCCACCTCAGCTGTAGTTATCTGCAGTTCATCCAGAGTGATCATGGGCCTCTTGACTGCATCTCTGATCAGTTTTCTCCTTGTTCGAGATGAAAGTTTGGAGGGACGGCCGGGTCTTGGTAGATTTGCAGTGGTCTGATACTCCTTCCATTTCAATATAATTGCTTGCACAGTGCTCCTTGAGAGGTTTAAAGCTTGGGAAATCCTTTTGTATCCAAATCCAGCTTTAAACTTCTCCACAACAGTATCTCGGACCTGCCTGGTGTGTTCCTTTGTCTTCATGGTTCTCTCTGCGCTTTAAACAGAACCCTGAGACTATCAAAGAGCAGGTGCATTTATACGGAGACTTGATTACACACAGGTGCATTCTATTTATCATCATCAGTCATTTAGGACAACATTGGATCATTCAAAGATCCTCACTGAACTTCTGGACTGAGTTTGCTGCACTGAAAGTAAAGGGGCCGAATAATATTGCACGCCCTACTTTTCAGTTTTTTATTTGTTAAATTTTTTTAAATTATCCAATAAATTTTGTTCCACTTCACGACTGCGTCCCACTTGTTGTAGATTCATGACAAAAAATTAAAATTTCAAATCTTTATGTTTGAAGCCTGAAATGTGGCGAAATGTTGAAAGGTTCAAGGGGGCCGAATAATTTCGCAAGGCACTGTATTTGGTTGAATTAGGCAACACCTATCTTTGTTTTCTCTTAATAACTAAACGCTTGTGATCTTCAGGCCAATGATTGCAAAGAAGAATCCTAAAATCCCCATGTCAAAGATGATGACCATCCTGGGGGCCAAATGGCGAGAGTTTAGCTCGAACAATCCCTTCAAAGGAAATGCTGCAGCAGTTGCAGCTGCTGCAGCCGCAGCTGCCATCGCTGTTGCGGAGCAGGTCTCTGCAACCACTGCTTCTCCAGAACCACCTCCACAGCCTCCGCCCATCCGCAAAGCCAAGACCAAAGAGGGCAAAGGTAAACTGCTCCATCACCCATGTCCTGGAGAAAGCAGCGGCCATGTCTTGGTCTAGACCTGGACTCCAGTCAGACTGCAGTCAGCTGTTGATGATTTGGGTCTTGATTTGGACTGTAATGGCATTATAAATCCTGGAATTTTCACCACATGTAAATCTAATGCCCACCCTATGATGAATAAATGAAACCAAAGCATATGGAGCTTTTACGCATTGGTGACAGAGGCAGCTCTACCCGGAGGAACAGGCGGCTGACCCAGAGTTTACTCTAGGGGCCTGGAAGTCTAATTTGGAAAAAAAGGCTGCGACTATGTATGAACAGCCATTACATATTAAAGACGATTTGTTTTTGCAAAACAAGGCATTGGCCCAACTACGTTATGGTGCTTATTGAAAACCTTACCATTCATTTAACCATGAAATACTTTCTTACGGCAATGACACAATATTCATCTGAGAGTATTTTTATCTGTACACACACATTCTCATTTATTCTATGTGTTCCTTTATGTTTTATCCTCCAGGGCCAGGCTATAAGAAGCGCAGCAAAAGTCCACGTGTCCCAGATAAGAAAAAAGCTCTTGCAAAGGCTAAAAAGATGACACCCATTCGTATCAAGCTCTCACCTCTCGGCGCCAAGAGGAAAAGGAGTTGCTCTGTGAGTTATTTGACCAGGTTTTGACTGGTTTATGGCAGACATCTCTCTTATACCTTGAATGTCTTTTCCTCAGAGTGATGAAATGGACGAGGAGGAATCAGAGCAGGAGGACTCCAGTGTCCACAGCGCCTCAGTTCGATCCGACAGCTCGGGGCGGGTCAAGAAGAACAAGCGTGGACGGCCTGCCAAGAAGAAGAAGAAGATTAGTAAGCAAAAACCCACAGGTCATGCACAGACAGATTTGTTTATCATCAGCAACAACAAAAATCTAATACAAGCGATCTACACATAGACCTGCTTTCTGTTCCTGGTGAGGAGGAGGCGGACGGCTACGAGACAGACCACCAGGATTACTGTGAGGTGTGTCAGCAGGGCGGAGAGATCATCCTGTGTGACACATGTCCCAGAGCCTATCACCTCGTCTGTCTGGAGCCTGAGCTTGAGAAGGCCCCCGAGGGAAAATGGAGCTGTCCACACTGTGTAAGTACAACCACCACGGTCCGTTACCTTACTGTTTCGGATTTAATATAAACAAAATTCAAATAAAGAGACGGGTTTTAATATTTTTTATTTAACCTTTATTTAACCAGGAAAGTCCCATTGAGATTGCATTACAATTATATACAATTATAGATTATAAAAACAGTTACATACAATTTCATAAAATTACAGATTATAAAAACAGTTACACACATCCATCCATCTTCTTCGCCTTAATCCATTTCTGGGTCGGGGGGGTTGGTAGTCAGAGCTGCACCCAGTACACATAGCACCAGCCCCTCACTGATCCTCCTGCAGGTGGTGAGTCCACAGGAGCCTAGATCTTTCAGTGGGGGCTTCAGGCAAAGTTGGGTGTGTCTTGCCCAAGGACACAACGACAGCAGTCACCAGCGGGAGTCCAGTTACATACAATTTCTTAAAAAAAAGTTACACACAATTTCATAAAAAAAGTTACACACAATTTTATAAAATTACAGATTATAAACACATTTACAGATTATAAAAACAGTTACACACAGGTACATACAATTACAGATTATAAAAACAGTTACACACAGGTACATACAATTACAGATTATAAAAACAGTCAATGAGGACATCTACATTGCTCTCAATCTGGATTTAAAATCAATGAATAAATCAAATAAATTCAGTTAATTCCCAGTCTTTTTGCGACACGTTCAATGTAAAAGGAGCAGCATTTACAACAGTCTTTTTTTTTTTAGAAAACTTAAGACATTTGAGTTTTGACACTGCAGCTTTCCAAAGTTATTATTAATGATTACGCTGTCTTACAGAATTGCTATTTTTAAAATGACCTTGTTATTGTAAAATGATCTCGGCCTGTGACCTATTTTCATCATTGTGTACAGACATGGCTGCATCCCTTCAGAGCGCGTTTAGGCCGAACAGTTAGTGCTTTTGGTTCACAGCAAGAAAGTCCAGGGTGTGATTTCATCCCCAGACAGGCTTTTCCCTACGGAGTTTGCATGTTCTCCCAGTGTCTGCCTATCACTATAAGGCATGTGCCTCCTGTATGTGACCCTGCCCCAATCTCTGTGTGGAATAAGAGGAAAAGTGCCTACAACAATTGTGAGGTGCTTTGTGGCTCACGATTACTCTATTTAAAGGTATATAGGAGGATTTTCTACTTCCGGGTGGATCATCAAGATTATTGGTCCTCCCAATTGTCAATCATTCTGGTGATACGTGCTCGTCAAAACAACCAGAGAGTTTTGTTCAAAGAGTGGAAAGAAGATTTGGAAAAATCCTCTTTTATATCTTTAAAGGTGCACCGTGCAACTTTTCTAACAGGGTCCGCTACAGCTTGTTGCCATGGAGATACTACTTTTTTGCTTGGAATGCATCTGAGTATAATGTGAAAATTATTTAGTTGCAAATGTTACAAATCAAATCCATAATTCTTACTTTATTGCTGCTCTACTTGCTGCAGATGTGAAGAAAAATAAAATACGGGTGCAAATGTAGTGGGCATGTTATCTTACTGGAATTTGCTGGTGTTATTTATGCGCTAAGCTGCGTTTTCATTCAGTCTCACGGGAAAAAACTTTCTGCGCTTGCTATTTCCATCTGGCCGTGCAAGGCCAAACGTGATAAATCGGACAACGTCATTGTTTACGGTTGCTGTTTCTTTTGCACATGATTTTTGCTCACATAGTTACAAAAATGTGCGGCATTTTTTTAACCCATTTTCCCGTGTTGACAATATATGACATACTGACGGTTTCCTCTTTTGAATCCTCAAACTGAGACAAGAGTTCAGACATATCTTTGTATATAAACCTGAAACTGCTCTTATAACTTTCTCTCACTATCACGAACGCGTTTGTGTTTTCAGGAGAAAGAGGGCATCCAGTGGGAGGCTAAGGACGATGACTTTGAGGACTTTGAGGAGGACAGCGAGGACCGGGTGATTTCGGAGGTGAGCGTTGGCATGGTGACCGGGAACGAGGACGAGGACGACGACCACATGGAGTTCTGTCGAGTTTGTAAAGACGGCGGTGAACTGTTATGCTGCGACACTTGCACTTCTTCGTACCACATCCACTGCCTCAACCCACCGCTGCCAGAGATCCCCAACGGCGAGTGGCTGTGTCCCAGATGCACCGTGAGCGACTTCATTTCACTCTTTATGTCTTTTTCAGAACATGTTGTACTTTCTTCCCCTGGTTTGATCATCCTGCTGCGTTACTGCGGCCAATTTGGTGATATTTAAAGCTTCCAAATGCAGAATTTATGAGCTTAAAATGGATTTATGATGAAATGAATGGAAGTTTATTTGAACATGGAATAAAACACAAGAGGAATAACAAAAAATAAACACAAGACAAGAACAAAGAAAAAAAAGTCAACAACCAGACTTAACATTTATTCATGTTCAAAATAAGTAGATTACTCTCTTATTTAGTATAGAATGAGATAATTGCAGTACTATATGACTAAGGCTAAGCTGCCATACCATATTTTTCAGAATAACTTTAGTGGTATTACTTATGGAGATGCGTTTTTATAAAAATCTTGTTCCACTTCCAATATTTATTCTACTCTCATTATTATTACCGTCTTAGTGTCCACCAATCAAAGGTCGAGTTCAGAAGATTCTCCACTGGCGGTGGGGTGAGCCTCCTCCTTCTATCCCAGTCCCACCTGCTCCCGATGCACCCCCAGATGCCCCCCCTCTGCCCCCCATGAAAGGCAGAGCCGAGAGGGAGTTCTTTGTGAAGTTGGCTGCTCAGTCCTACTGGCACTGCACATGGATCACAGAGCTGCAGGTGAGACAGCCCCCTGTTCAATCAAGAGAATTATATTATTAGATTATCACGGCAAGTTTGCATGGGAACAGTTGAAACCACTTCACGATTATATCCCTGTAAAGTGGCACGGTGGTTAGTGCTTGTGCATCACAGTAAGAAGGTCCTGGGTTCGATTCCACCTCCAGACTGAGTACTTTCAGTGTTGAGTTAGCGTGTGCTCCTTGTCTGCGGAGGTTTGCCCCAACTACTAAAAACATGTCTGTATGGACAGTGGTGGTTGGAGGCTTTGATGTGACCGAGTGTTTAGCGTCTCACTTCTGTCATCGTCATGAGTGAATGGAAAAATATTGTAAAGGGCACAGCAATTACAGACCAAATGTGACCTTGGTCTGTGAAATGTGCTGTATAAATGAAGATCACTTATGTATGTTCTCAGGTATATAGTCAAATGGACTCCTAACTGTTTAACACAGATTCTGAAGGCAGTTTTATTACCGAAAATATTTCTGCTACTTGGGGCGTGGGATCACAACGTAATGCTGAGGTTTTTATACAAAAGGTCCAAATCCAACTCCAATCCCACTGATCCAGTACTTTCCATGTGTCGTCCCACAGTTGCACTCACCCGCAGTCGACCCTGAACTATTGTGTATGCTTTTAGTGGTAGCACTCACACGAAAACCTACGCAGACAGAGGGAGAACATGCAAATCTCACACAGAAAGGCCTGGCCTTGCCCGAGCACTGACCGCTGTGCCACGTGCTGCAACAATTATAATGATCAGAACACTAGACTTCATGTCACAGGGTATTAGAAATCTTTTTGGTGGCCCCTTTCCTTTTGTATATTTTTTAATTTAATGCCAAAATGTCTGCATTTTTCCAGCTGGAGATTTTCCACTCAGTGATGTACCGAAACTACCAGAGGAAGACAGACATGGACGAGCCACCCAGTCTTGATTACGGGTCAGGGACTGAGGATGAGAATGGAGTGGTGAAGAGTGAGAAAAGAAGGGCCAAAGATCCGCAGTATGCCATGATGGAAGATAAATACTACAAATACGGCATCAAGCCAGAATGGATGATCATACACCGCATCATCAATCACAGGTGACGCATGTTTGTTGTATGTTTTTCTCTGATTTTTGGTGTTTTACCTTGTTGTGTATCTGCCAGTGTGGATAAGAAGGGCCTGTACCACTACCTGGTGAAATGGAGAGACCTGACATATGACCAGTGCACCTGGGAGAGCGATGACATGGATATACCCGACTTTGAAATTTACAAAGCGGCCTACTGGAGACATAGGTAAGACTTAAGAGTAAATGATTGTGTTTAACTATTGAGTTCAACTTTTAATTAATTGAATGTGCCCACTTGTGTCAGGGATAACATAATGAAAGACGATGACCCAGACAAGCCCAGGAAAATGAGAAACAGAAATCAAATTGAAGAAGGGGAGGACGGTTCTATTCCTTCTCCAGTCAATGATGTAAGTGTGAAACGTGTTACTGCAGGTATTTACCCAACTTCTCTAATAATGCACATTTTTTTCTCTCAGCCAACGATAAAATACGAGGAACAGCCAGACTTTGTGACATCGACTGGGGGCACTCTGCATCTATACCAGCTGGAGGGTCTGAACTGGCTGCGATTCTCATGGGCTCAGGGCACAGACACCATCCTGGCCGATGAGATGGGTCTCGGCAAAACTATCCAGACCATCGTCTTCCTTTACTCACTTTTTAAGGAGGTACTATAGATTGTGGAAGCTTGAAACGTCAAAACCTGGAAACGATATTCTCAATTCTTTGTGTTTTTAGGGCCATACAAAGGGTCCGTTCCTTGTAAGCGCTCCACTTTCCACCATCATCAACTGGGAGCGAGAGTTTGAAATGTGGGCTCCTGACTTTTATGTGGTCACGTACACAGGGGATAAGGACAGTCGAGCAATAATCAGGGAGAATGAATTTTCTTTTGATGACAATGCAGTCAAAGGAGGGAAGAAGACATTCAAATTACGGGTGAGTACTCCTCACTCAGATAGCAGTGCAATTTTGATGACACAAATAATTATTTTTCACAAATATTCTGTTTGCTGCAGAGAGAGGCTCCTATCAAATTCCATGTGCTGCTAACGTCATATGAACTTGTGACTATTGACCAAACCGCTCTCAAGTCAATCGACTGGGCCTGTTTAGTGGTGGACGAGGCTCATCGACTGAAGAATAACCAGTCCAAGGTATTTACAAAGATTACATTTATTCTTTACCGGGGCGACAGTAGCTCAGTTGGTAGAGCATTGGCCTTAAGGCCAGAAGGTCGTGGGTTCAATTCCCACCTCTGCATCTTCTCCACCGACTCCCACTGATGACTGCTGTCGTTGTGTCCTTGGGCAAGACACTTAACCCCACTTTGCCCAAAGCCCCCACTGAAAGATCAAGGATATGCTCACACTCAGAGAGCAGCCGTCCTCCTGTGGACTCACCACCTGCAGAGGGTCAGTGAGGGGCTGGTGCTATGAGACTTGGGTGGCATCTCTGATTGCCACCCCCCTGACCCAGAAATGGATTAAAGGGTAAAAAATGGATGGATGGACATTTATTCTTTACCATCTTGCTGCCAAGAATTCATTTCAATGTATTCTTGTATAGCCCTAAATCACAACAGTAGTTATCTCGGAGGACTTTACAAAACAGTTGAAATCGCCAACACAGATCAGAGAATCAAACACATTGAATAGAGAACACATAGGCCCCCCTATGTGTTCTCTATTCAATGTGTTTGATTGACCAATGTCCATAAGTGTTGATATATGTTCATAAATGTTGTTAAAGTTTTCTAATCCGTCTCTGGTCTGCTCAGTTTTTCAGGCGTCTTAACGATTACAAAATCGACCATAAGCTGTTGCTGACCGGAACACCTCTGCAGAACAACCTGGAGGAGCTGTTTCATCTGCTTAACTTCCTCACTCCCAACCGCTTCAAGTATGTTTTAGCTCTTTGTTTCACACCAACACATCTGTCGCTGCTCTTAGTGACGATCCATTTGACTTTGTCCCAGTAATCTGGAAGGCTTCCTTGAAGAGTTTGCTGACATCTCCAAAGAAGACCAGATCAAGAAGCTTCACGACCTGCTCGGACCTCACATGCTGCGGCGGCTCAAGGCTGACGTCTTCAAGAACATGCCTGCAAAGACGGAGCTGATTGTCAGAGTGGAGCTCAGCCTAATGCAAAAGTATGGCCCTTTGGGGGATGTTACCAAAGGCCTATTATATAACAGACATTTGTTTGTTGTACGTAGGAAATATTACAAGCTCATTTTGACCAAGAATTTTGAGGCGCTGAACTCAAAAGGCGGCGGAAACCAGGTCTCCCTGCTCAACATTATGATGGACCTCAAAAAGTGTTGCAACCATCCCTACCTCTTTCCCAGTGCTTCCATGGTGAGCTCAACTCAACCACTGCTATATTTGATACTCTGACATTTCCGGTGGATAACATTGGTGCAGTGACATCCTGTGGAAAGAATGGGAAATTTCAAAATTGCTCATGGTCTTTTTATTGTTTTTTATAGGAAGCTCAAAAAACTCCCAATGGTGCGTATGAGGGCTCAGCTCTTGTGAAGGCCTCTGGGAAACTGATGCTGTTGCAGAAAATGCTCAGAAAACTCAAAGAACAAGGGCATAGAGTGCTGGTTTTCTCACAGGTAATGCGCACGCACACTTTGACCACAGGTTGTACCACATACACACACCAGATGGCCACCTCTCACCACAGATGTGCAGTTAGTCCCATGATAACGGCTGGGGCTCAGCTGCAGACGGGATCCAGCTGTTAAGGGAAAGCTTCATGTCTTTGTGTTTTTGTTTACAGATGACTAAAATGCTGGATCTATTGGAAGACTTCCTGGACCATGAAGGTTACAAGTATGAACGGATTGACGGAAGCGTCACAGGAGCTCTGAGACAAGAAGCTATTGATCGTTTTAATGGTGAATAATTTAATAATTTACAAAGAAGGTCCAAGAGATGGACCTGCTTTCTTTCATGATGTAATGTTGTTGAATTGAAACGCTTCTCTTCCAGCTCCTGGTGCTTGTCAGTTTTGCTTCTTGCTGTCAACCAGAGCTGGAGGTTTAGGTATTAACTTGGCCACTGCAGACACTGTCGTCATCTTTGACTCTGATTGGAACCCTCACAATGACATACAAGTAAGGCTGCTTTTGTAAATAAGCAAATAACAGGGATCTAGGTTTTTGACTTGATTCTCTATTTGTTACATTCTTCCTCCTTCCAAAGGCCTTCAGTCGAGCTCACAGAATTGGCCAGGCTAACAAGGTGATGATCTACCGCTTTGTGACCCGAGCAAGTGTAGAGGAACGCATCACGCAGGTTGCAAAGAGGAAGATGATGCTGACCCACCTGGTTGTGCGGCCGGGGTTGGGTTCCAAGGCCGGCTCCATGTCCAAACAAGAACTCGATGACATCCTCAAATTTGGAACAGAAGAACTGTTCAAGGATGAAGGAGAAGGTGACACAAACTGAAGCTTTTCTATTTATACAGTTATTCGTCATATTAACACTCAAACACATTCTGTGGCAGGTATGAAGAAGCCCATCGCAGATAAAGCTGAGGATGAGGGCAACGTGATTCACTACGATAGTTCTGCCATCGAGAGGCTTCTGGACCGAAGCCAAGATGCCACAGACGACACTGACGTCCAGAACATGAACGAGTACCTCAGCTCCTTCAAAGTGGCCCAGTACATGGTCCGCGAGGAGGATAAGGTAAACATGCTACTGTAACATGTGAGAACATGTGTGAGAACACCATAAAATGTACTTGTTGCTTGTGGTAATATTTTCTTTAACATCTAGTGTGACACATTTATTTTGCCTTTTTATTTCTGTGAAAAGATCAAATGCTATGATATCCATGAATGCCTTTAGTTTGCAGTAGAAACAGGCTTTTACTCAATGTTCCAATCCAGGCTAAAACAGTTCTGTTCAGCTGTGCATACTGAAGCAATGTATCGTACTCTTTTTTAAATACTGTGATTATTTATGATTTCCTTGTGTGATTGTTTCTTGTCTTGAGTCCTTGAGTTGCATCTTGTGTATAAACTGTGCCATACAAATACACTTTCCATGCCTTGCCTTTATGTAACCAAAACATATACACTTTGTCTTGTAGATTGAAGAGATCGAGCGGGAAATCATCAAACAAGAAGAGAACGTGGATCCGGATTATTGGGAAAAGCTGTTGCGGCATCACTATGAGCAGCAACAAGAAGACCTGGCGAGCAAACTGGGAAAAGGCAAACGGAACCGCAAACCCGTCAACTACAATGACGCAGCGCAGGAGGATCAAGGTAAGATGTGCTTCAGTTTGGACTCAGCAATCTTTAAAACAGTTTAGTATTAACCAGTGCTGCTCAGCTTACCTAAAAAAAAGTAATCAGTTACAGTTACAAATTACCAATGCCAAAAAGTAATGGCTTTACTGAGGGGTCTAAGTAACAAATTAGCCAAAGTAAGTACTGATTTACAGACGTTTTTTTCCCTCCATGATGTCAAATACAATTCTTATGTTGAGTTTTCATCTGTAAATCATTGATCAAGTCCACTGCATGATTACAAGTCACCATCGCACACACACAAACACACACAAACACAAACTACGCATTTAAAATTCAATAATATCAGAACTATTTACGAGAAACGAAAACAAGGCAGTTGCACCAGATTACACACTATCTCCCCAAAAAACTGCAGCGGTGACTTACTATGGTAAGAGAATAGAATGTCGCTGTAGCTTGTCTGGCCCTCATATCCCACCAAACTTCTCCATGAAGTCTAAACGCACTCGTCACTCCCGCTGTTATCGTCCGATGTCCCTCCCATCAATTATTGCACTGTCGCTAAAACTGTCGCATGTCCCCTAATAACACGTTTCTCGTGGTTAGGAATTGAATGTCTAAAGTGTGCTTTGCTAAACGAAGGGAATCACAGAAAAGTCATTTGGCCACCACCTGATGTTTCTGATCAGTTAGCTGTAATGTCAAACCAACCAACGAGTGTGTCTGCTCTACTGCTCTACATTTCTGTTTATGCTCATCCAAAATACGTGAGAATAAACTCCTGTGAACAAGAGAGCGCCGTGTGTGATCGATCCCTGCCGTGATCCAGCAACGAGCTGCTTTACACGATAGTAACGATAGCCCAGTTACCGTCTCCAAAAGAACCCATTTTACGTAAACGCTGTTATTGCCAAATCTTGTAATGACATGTCTGTAGTAAAAGAGCAGTTCAAAATTCTTCAGGGCGGCCAAAGATTTAAAAGTCAAGCTTTACTTTTCAGTCATTTGGTTTAATAGGATTTATGACATGCATGATACCCCACAGTTTGCTCAGAAAATGCAGTTAGAATGAATGGCAGTGGCCCAATAGCTCTCTACTGTCGTGTTGCAGAGTGGCACGCTGACATTTCAGACAATCAGTCCGAGTACTCAGTGGGCTCCGAGGAAGAGGACGAAGACTTTGACGACAGGCCAGAAGGTAAGGAGACGATTAGAAAGAGAGAGAGAAACATCAAACGGAGGGACAGATGGCTGGCTTGATTTACAGAGCCATATTGATTTAGTTGTTATAGTTGTCTGGCACAGAGTTACGAGATAGAAGCCAAGAATGCATGCAACCATCATCTACCCCAGAGAATACGGCCAAATAAGGACTAGTAAAAATACCTTTTTGGCAAACATACACTATTGTTTTGTTGCTGACTAAAGCCGGATTAGAGGCCATTATTTAATTTATCTCAAAAGTAAATGTACAAATATAGCCGCTAGCAACGATAAAAGCCCTCCCCTTCCCTTGCCACCGCCTCTCACACCCCCGCCCAAGCCGCTGATCTATCTTTATGTATAGAATTATAGAAATTCGAAAAGTATTTGAACACAAGAACAAGTACAAACATGAATTAGTATGGCATTGGTGCTGTTGACTTTCTTTCTTATTTGATGCGTAGAATAACATGAATAGTTTTTGTTCACATTGGAGGTGGGGCGCTAAAGTTGCTCGTAGCCATGTGCTAATACAATTGTTATTTTCCACTTTTCATTTGGTCTTAATTTGAGTTCTGTGTATGTATGTGACTGTAGGAAGGAATAACAGAGGCAAGCTTTTTCTGGCGAATCATGCAAAAGCCATAATGACTGTACTGTTCTGCATTTGGGCTAATTATTGAAAATCAGTGTCTGTAGGTGTCATATTTGTATGAAGTTTGAAGTCATTTCTGTCAAACTTCAAGGACAAATGCTCAAGCAAAAAACAGGCAAACTGGCAATGAAATTCCTATCCACGATGAGTGAGTCCCGTTCCGCATTGGGCTGTGCCAGAGACTGTAGAAGGACTAACCAGGTGCTAACGTCCCCCATAGTGTTTGCCTTATTGCGGAAGTATCCGATTAGAGCTCACTCAGGCTTCATGGGCGAGAATCTGGAACCAAATTTGTGGGTAGAAAAGACTTAACCAAAGAGCCAACCAGGAGTGAGATGGCTCTGTTCCCACTCGCACTACTTGCAATCCGGAACTGAACTCGGGGACAGAAGGCACCTGATTGGTCAATGGTTAGTGGACATATCTGGATTTACAAAGACAAAATCAAAATAGAAAGACCATGATCATACAAAGCATTAAACCACAGATTGTGAATCCCAAAAGGGTAAGTGACACAAATGGTTACATACTGAACATGTAAGTCAATGCCGTCAAATCATACCCATGAGGTTTTGGGCTTCATCGAGCTAGCATGTTAGCATTTTTATTGATATACAGTCTAGGGGTTTAGGCTTTTTTCAAGGAACTTTATCATAGTTGTGAATACGAAATATACATATCCCTTTCCCATCGGGTGCACTTCATGGTGGTGCTGTTGAGTTTGTAGCTGCATCAGACAAAGGATTCACTGCGCCCCTGGGGGTCAACAGTGGAAAATACACAATACACAATGCACAATATAATCTTTGGCATCTTCTGGTGCCTGTTTATGTCTCCTATAGGTGTTGTTACAAAGTTTGCAGTCAGCATGTGCTTTTATTCCATTAGCCTCAGGCCGTAATCCCAAAGCGATTCATATTTCAGCTCTGTAGGTCTAAGCATGCAGCCGTGAGAAGTCGTGCAACACACAGGAAACACAGGCGGTATTTTCTGTCGTGCAAGTGAGCAGCCATTTTGATGAAAACCCTGAAGGACATGTTCAAAGAATTAATGTGGCAAAAATCAATTCGCAGTGCTACAATATAATGTGCGGCTTGTTTCATGGAACTCCATCACTGGTCCCAATCTTGTTTGTGAACTCCATAATATGCACTTCTATGTGTGTTGAGTCTCGGTGTGTCAGCTGTCTCCTTACGTTCTGTAGCTTTTTATGTTGAGCTGAATTAGCACTGACAGAGCAGCCGTCCTCCTGTGGACTCACCACCTGCAGGAGGATCAGTGAGGGGCTGGTGCTATGTGACTTGGGTGGCATCTCTGACTGCCACCCCCCCCGACCCAGAAATGGATTAAGGGGAAGAAAATGGATGGATGGATGGATGAATTATCAATACCCCTCGGTCAGACGCTTTTCAAGCATGTATAGTATAGGTGATCAGAAAATAATAATTACCCCAGAGAGGAGTCAAACCAATTCCTAAATCACAATTGTTCTCCAAATTAGCTCTATGTTTTATCTGTGGTCGATATTAAAACTATGTGATTAACTGGTTCCTTAACTGACATTTGTCTTTGCAGGTCGGAGGCAGTCACGTCGGCAGCTCCGTAACGATAGAGATAAGCCTCTCCCTCCTCTCTTGGCTCGAGTGGGAGGCAATCTCGAGGTCTGTTCATCCTTTCTAATCAAGATTGTTGTTTCATGATACACGCCACCTGTCTTGTCCCGTCTAGTTGGTTTCATGGCCTCCACTATCTTTCTCTCACAATCTTAATCATTTGCTGTTTGAATGGCAGCAGAGCTATTATGAGTTCTGCTATTTCCAAGCTCATTTATAACTGGGAAGAATTAGAGTTTATTTTAACAGCAAGAAGCATTCATACTTTGAACGGTTGAGGATTTGAACAATGTGAGGTTAAAATGATGTGATTTTACCCATATTATTGGGTATCATTTTCATCTGAAGGTGCTGGGCTTCAACACACGGCAGCGCAAGGCTTTCCTGAACGCGGTGATGCGCTGGGGAATGCCATCTCAGGACGCTTTCTCCTCTCAGTGGCTCGTCAGAGATCTCAAGGGCAAGACTGAGAAAGAATTCAAGTGAGTTAATATGGCTTTCTATTGCTGCGATCATGACCAGTCTATCTTAAACAGTCATGTCAAACTCAGGCCCGTGGGCCAAATCCGGCCCGCAAGAACATTTTTAGTGGTCCTGGCATTGATTTTCAATTATCATTATCACAGTAACATTCTGCATTTATGGCTTCTATGGCATGTTATGGCACTTAATTTTACAGCCTATTATCTAAGGCAGTGTCTCCCAAGGGCCGCGAGGGTATTGCAGGGGGGACGCGAGAGTTCATTAAAAAAATATATATATATTTATGTATATAATTATTGTTAAATTAATAATATTTTTGTTCATAATTTGACTTGAATAATCAAATTGTAATCATTTTTGTCATTTACATGTTTGTAGCAGAGGCTATTTCCCCCAAATAAAATAACAAGAAGAGCCTATTTTTAACGATGTCTTCTTGGTTAGTATTTTGGGGGGCCGCGCAGACCCATCAGATTTTTAAGGGGGCCACGGTGTTACTGACTTTGGGAATGGCTGATCAAAGAAAACATCCATGCAATTGTTCTATGTTCTAAAATGTAAAGAAGAATGTAATTAGAAGTTATAGTTACTTAAATATCATGTTTTTATATTTAAAGGTATATAGGAGGATTTTCCCAAATTTTAGGAAAGAACCACCCTCTCCTGTTTTTAACTCTGGTCTTATTTGACGAGCACCTATCACCAGAATGATTGACAGCTGGGAGGACCAATAGTCTTGATGATCCACCCGAAAGTAGAAAATCCTCCTTTATACCTTTAGCTATCAATCTTACAACAGATCTCTTCTTAATATTTGGCCCAGTTCTGGTTGAATCCATAAATAAGAGAAAATAATACCAAAACTCATGTCAGATGCAATATATTTATCAAATAAGAGAAAATATATACCACTTTTATACTTTTGGCCCCAAACAGCTTCTATGTTTTTAAAATTGGCCCCAGACCAAAATGAGTTTGGCACTGATCTAAAACTACATTACACCTGTGTTGTCCAGGGCATACGTCTCCCTCTTCATGCGTCACCTGTGCGAGCCAGTGGCAGACGGAGCCGAGACCTTCGCTGACGGTGTCCCCCGGGAAGGCCTCTGCCGGCAGCCGGTCCTCACGCGGATTGGTGTCATGTCACTTGTCAAAAAGAAGGCAAGCACTTTACTGCTTCCTTTAAAACATGTGACCGGAGCGTAAGAGATATTTCAATGCTTTAAATACAAATGAATCAATGCCGTTCTTGTTGATGAGACCTTCTTGAATCGTTGAAGTGCTCGTAAATAAGACTTTGGTAACCTAAACGAAACAGTGACAGTTTTGTGGCTTGTAGTTGTAGAGGTATGTGGGCCAGTGCGGCTTCTCGTTTTATTCTTGCTCTAAGAATTAAATAGAGGGCTTATTTGTGTAATCACCTCAGATAACCTACTCAAAAAACAAGTTTTAGACGATGAAACCACATATAATGCCTCAACAAAGTAGTTAACAAAAGCAAATGAAGTAGAAGTTGCTCACTGCCAAATGCAAGTAATCCTCGCTATTATGTTGCTACTTTACTTGAAATTATCTTAATAGCTCATCTTGTGAAAACATGCCACACTTGCCACATGATGAAGTGAATGATATTCTGCCAAGCACGCGGGTGGCGACTTTAATAGCGAGCAATTTGGACCCGCAGCGGAGCCAACGTTTTATAGTGCTCTTGTTTTGTGTGCAGATTCAAGAGTTTGAGCACATTAACGGCCGGTGGAGTATTCCAGAACTCAAACCTGAAGTCACTGTGGACAAATCCTCCTCGCGGGCATCTTCTCCAGCCATGAAAACTGCCACTCCCACACCAGACGCCAGCTACAACAACACACCATGCACCTCAGAGCCAGGTAACCAGACACAGGCAGAAGGTGCGTGTGTGCGTGTGTCCAGCAGGGGGAGCTATGTGCTTAGGGACAATACAGTTTAACTGGGATTTAACGTACGTGTTTGATAAACATTTGCAGCCACTCCAGCTCCATTAGACAAGACTGAAAAGAATGTAAAAGATGCAGAGAAGGAGGAGGAGAAGGAGGAAAAGGTGCCAGACAAAGAGAAAGAAAAGGACCACAGCAAAGAGGAGAGCAACAAAAGTGCTGAGCCAGAGGAGGTGAGAAATACATTTTATTTCTGTCACTTGAGATTGAGTTTTCATTTTCAAATAATTGGGGAAGAGTAGATGGTTTGACAGGGGTGGTAAATCTTGGAAGTGCATTTTTAGCACATGCTAGTTAGTTAAATAATACAAATGGTTAGTTGCTACTCAATTTATGGTACCTACAAACTAGATTACAGTTTGAGCGAATGATATTTTGTAAGACATGCTTAGTCTAAGAGCTACTTCCTTGAGAATATTGTGCTATTTCAAAAAATAGAAGTATGTCCATGGATCCTTATCATTATAATTTTGCTCTGACTGATTGATGGTGACCTGGATTATTTTTTGGATTGGATAGATGGTATTCCTGGTGGCAATAAAACCGTCTGAAGTTTACCCAGTATGCTGGATTAGGCGCTTTTAAAGGGTTGAAACAAAATCAAATTGTTAGAATCAGAATCGTTTTCAGGTTCAGACAACTTTATCTCATCTCATCAGGGTAGCACAGGGCATAAAAACATAAAAAAATTTCATTTTGTTACCATTGTGAGTAACAGGAAGTCACAAACTAAGAATTTGCTTTTGTAAACTATGCCGATAAGTCATAAAATAGTGAAAAATTGATAAAAAGGCATGCATAAAACATATCTGAATACATTTCTATTATATTAATACACACAGTAGACACACTGGTGCACACTGGGGTAGTCTTGCACAGTTTTTCCAATGTAGTTTTACTGCAAATGGCAAAAAAAATTGTATATCTTGTTGTATTTATATGTACGCACACATGATTGAGAAGCGAGAGTTTATTATCTATTCATCATTTACTATCTTAAATAATAGACTATTGTCTTGTACACTTGCGAAAGTATTCGGCCCCCTTGAACCTTTCAACATTTCGCCACATTTCAGGCTTCAAACATAAAGATATAAAAATTATTTTTTTTGTCAAGAATCAACAACAAGTGGGACACAATCGTGAAGTGGAACGAAATTGATTGGATAATTTAAACTTTTTTAATAAATAAAAAACTGAAAAGTGGGGCGTGCAATATTATTCGGCCCCCTTGCGCTAATACTTTGTAGCGCCACCTTTTGCTGCAATTACAGCTGCAAGTCGCTTGGGGTATGTCTCTATCAGTTTTGCACATCGAGAGACTGGAATTCTTGCCCATTCTTCCTTGCAAAACAGCTCGAGGTCAGTGAGGTTGGATGGAGAGCGTTTGTGAACAGCAGTCTTCAGCTCTTTCCACAGATTCTCGATTGGATTCAGGTCTGGACTTTGACTTGGCCATTCTAACACCTGGATACGTCTATTTGTGAACCATTCCATTGTAGATTTGGCTCTATGTTTTGGATCATTGTCCTGTTGGAAGATAAATCTCCGTCCCAGTCTCAGGTCTTTTGCAGACTCCAACAGGTTTTCTTCCAGAATGGTCCTGTATTTAGCTCCATCCATCTTCCCATCAATTTTAGCCATCTTCCCTGTCCCTGCTGAAGAAAAGCAGGCCCAAACCATGATGCTGCCACCACCATGTTTGACAGTGGGGATGGTGTGTTCAGGGTGATGAGCTGTGTTGCTTTTACGCCAAACATATCGTTTTGCATTGTGGCCAAAAAGTTTGATTTTGGTTTAATCTGACCAGAGCACCTTCTTCCACATGTTTGGTGTGTCTCCCAGGTGGCTTGTGGCAAACTTTAAACAAGACTTTTTATGGATATCTTTGAGAAATGGCTTTCTTCTTGCCACTCTTCCATAAAGGCCAGATTTGTGCAGTGCACGACTGATTGTTGTCCTATGGACAGACTCTCCCACCTCAGCTGTAGTTATCTGCAGTTCATCCAGAGTGATCTTGGGCCTCTTGGCTGCATCTCTGATCAGTCTTCTCCTTGTTTGAGATGAAAGTTTGGAGGGACGGCCGGGTCTTGGTAGGTTTGCAGTGGTCTGATACTCCTTCCATTTCAATATAATTGCTTGCACAGTGCTGCTTGAGATGTTTCAAGCTTGGGAAATCTTTTTGTATCCAAATCCGGCTTTAAACTTCTCCACAACAGTATCTCGGACCTGCCTGGTGTGTTCCTTTGTCTTCATGGTTCTCTCTGCGCTTTAAACAGAACCCTGAGACTATCAAAGAGCAGGTGCATTTATACGGAGACTTGATTACACACAGGTGCATTCTATTTATCATCATCAGTCATTTAGGACAACATTGGATCATTCAAAGATCCTCACTGAACTTCTGGAGTGAGTTTGCTGCACTGAAAGTAAAGGGACCGAATAATATTGCACGCCCCACTTTTCAGTTTTTTATTTGTTAAAAAAGTTTAAATTATCCAATAAATTTTGTTCCACTTCACGATTGTGTCCCACTTGTTGTTGATTCATGACAAAAATTTGTAATTTTATATCTTTATGTTTGAAGCCTGAAATGTGGCAAAATGTATGAATACTTTCGCAAGGCACTGTATATTGTGTGTTGATGTGATGTGTGCTTAACCTGAGTGCTCTTATTTCTACTGTTACTCTGAAATGTCCCTTCTGTGGGGCAAATAAAGGTTAATTTATCTAGAGCTGCAACTAACGATTATTTTGTAATCGATTAATCTATCGATTATTTTTACGATTAATCGAGTAATCGCTTGGCTGTGAATTGTGTAGAAAAAATGTATTTTTTCATCACAAAAAGCTAAAGTGGCAACACTCGAGGACGTATTGATGGCGTAAACTTAAAGTAAATGTTTGTAACAGGCTCCGTCCGTCCGTTTTCTTCCGCTTCATCCGTTGCCGGGTCGCGGGGGCAGCAGTCTTAGCAGAGACGCCCAGACTTCCCTATCCACACACACTTCCTCCAGCTCGTCCGGGGGGACCCCAAGGCGTTCCCAGGCCAGCTGAGAGACATAGTCCCTCCAGCGTGTCCTGGGTCTTCCCCGGGGCCTCCTCCCGGTGGGACGTGCCCGGAACACCTCCTCAGGGAGGCGTCCAGGAGGCATCCGGAACAGATGCCCAAGCCACCTCAACTCGTTCCTCTCGACGTGGAGTAGCAGCGGCTCTACTCCGAGCTCCTCCCGTGTGACTGAGCTCCTCACCCTATCTCTAAGGGAGCGCCCAGCCACTCTGCGGAGGAAGCTCATTTCGACCGCTTGTATCCGCGATCTCGTTCTTTCGGTCATTACCCAAAGTTCATGACCATAGGTGAGGGAGGGAACGAAGATTGACCGGTAAATCGAGAGCTTTGCCTTTCGGCTCAGCTCCCTCTTCACCACAACGGTCCGATACAGCGACCGCATCAGTGGCGGCTGGTGGAATTTTCTACTGGGGGGGCTATGAATATGATGACTAGATATATACCAGCAGTAAGTAAGTTTACACTGATGTGCCTATTCTTGTCAACCTTCTCATTGTGCTTTCTGATCCCTACCCTGTAGCTTTCATCCAGCTGGGATGAAATATTTATCTTCCCAAACATAGCTAATTTGAGGGCATTTTGCATGTGGATACCAGTCTGCTCATGCTTCTTTGCCTTTTCTAAAAAGTGCTTCAGATCAGTCATACCTGTCTTGATCCATGCTGGGTCAGATCCTGATGTTTGAAACAAGAGGCATGGAAAGCAAAATAAAGCATTAGCCTCGCTACATGCTGCTAGCCAAGATTTGGCGCTGAACCAGGTCCTGGAAAAAGTACGAGTGTACCGTCTCCCTCTGTCGCTGGACTGCTGACTAATGGTAATATTTGGCTGATCAGGTCCAAGCTCTTTAACCTCAACCTTCTCCTGGTATGATCTTCTCTCAAACGGTATTGTTTTGAGTGATCTAACTGAATTATTCTTTTTCTCGTTCTCCATTTTGCGTCTGTTTACGTTCGTCTCAAACTCCCACAGCTTGACCTGTCAATCACTGTGAACGGACGTCACAGACAGTGACAGTACAGGTCGCGGGCGATCCCGCCCCCTCAGGGCGCACTTCTCCTGCGCCCCCAAATCGTCTTATCTCTTGCATTGAAGAGGAGCTACTGCGCATGTACAACTTTTAACGAGAGTCCATAGACGGCTCAGGGCGCAATCTTTTGCGCCCTGAGGCGGAAATACGTCCTCAGTCCGACACAGACAACGCTGATGAGCTTAATCAATCCAACTCAGCATAAACTATAAAGTATTTCTTCCACATCTGAAATAAAACACACATAAATTTCGAAATATTTTAATGTTATTATTTTTTTAAACGTTTTATTCAAGGTAACATGGCAAGTTGTGAGTGGTGGGGCGGCGCCCTAGCGCCCTCTATTGGCCGGCCGCCACTGGACCGCATCACAGCGCACGCTGCACCGATCCGCCTGTCAATCTCACGCTCCATCCTTCCCTCACTCGTGAACAAGACCCCGAGATACTTGAACTCCTCCACTTGAGGAAGGACCTCTCCACCCACCTGAAGAGATCAAGGCACCTTTTTCCGGTCGAGCACCATGGCCTCGGATTTGGAGGTGCTGATTCTCATCCCAGCCGCTTCACACTCGGCTGCAAACCGTCCCAGTGCATGCTGCAGGTCCTGGTTCGTTGGAGCCAACAGGACAACATCGTCCGCAAACAGCAGAGATGAAATCCTGTGGTCCCCGAACCGGACCCCCTCCGGCCCCTGGCTGCGCCTAGAAATTCTGTCCATGAATACAGTGAACAGAACCGGTGACAAAGGGCAGCCCTGGCGGAGGCCAACATGCACCGGGAACAGGTCTGACTTACTGCCGGCAATGCGAACACAGCTCTGGCTCCGGTCATACAGGGACCGAACAGCCCTCAGCAGAGGACCCCGGACCCCGTACTCCCGGAGAACCCCCAAAGAACACCCCGGGGAACACGGTCGAACGCCTTCTCCAAATCCACAAAGCACATGTGGACAGGTTGGGCGAACTCCCATGAACCCTCGAGTATCCGATGGAGAGTATAGAGCTGGTCCAGTGTTCCGCGGCCGGGACAAAAACCACACTGCTCCTCCTGAATCCGAGATTCGACCATTGGCCGTAGCCTCCTCTCTAGTACCTTGGAGTAAACCTTACCAGGGAGGCTGAGGAGTGTGATCCCACGATAATTGGAACACACCCTCCGGTCCCCCTTCTTATAGAGAGGGACCACCACCCCGGTCTGCCACTCCATCGGCACCGCCCCCGATCGCCACGCGATGTTGCAGAGACGTGTCAGCCAAGACAGTCCTACAACATCCAGAGACTTTAGATAGTCTGGAGGCTGCCAACCACCTTGGTGACCTCCGCCAGGGAGATGGAAGTATCCGCCCCAAAATCTTCAGCCTCTGCCTCTGGGACGGAGGACGTGACAGGGGGGTTGAGGAGAACCTCGAAGTATTCCTTCCACCGCCCGACAATATCCCCAGTCGAGGTCAGCAGCTCTCCACCCGCACCGTACACGGTGTTGGCAAAGCACTGCTTCCCCCTCCTGAGGCGCCGGACGGTTTGCCAGAATCTCTTCGAGGCCGACCGATAGTCCTGCTCCATGGAGTCTCCAAACTCCTCCCAGACCCGGGTTTTTGCCTCTGCAACAACCCGGGCCGCGGCACGCTTGGTCTGCCGGTACTGGACAGCTGCCTCAAGAGTCCCCCGAACCATCATGGCTCGATAGGACTCTTTCTTCAGCCTGACGGCATCCCTTACTGCCGGTGTCCACCACCGGGTTCGGGGGTTGCCACCGGGACCAGCACCATGTAACAGGCTCTTTGTGCTACTTCTGCTATCTGATTGGATGTGACAGACAGATATTCATTAAATTATAAAAACAAAGTCGGTTTTAATCAAAAATACTACATTTTCATGTCATTTTTGCTCTGTTTGAGTCCGTGTGAACCAGAAAACGATTAATCGATTACTAAAATAGTTGTCGACTATTTCAATAATTGATTAGTCGTCGATTAATCGATTAGTTGTTTTAGCCCTAAATGTATCTTATTTGACAGTGGAGATGATCAGATAATGGTCCAGTGGTATGATATTAGAGAGTGGCAGAAGTATTAACTGCGCACCATAGTTACTTTAAATCATAAATAACACTGTTGGATCAATTTGATTTTAAAAAGCAGAAGTCATTCCAGTCCCTTCACTGTTGTCGTTTCACGTTCTCATCAGAAAAGGACCTCACTGGATTGTTTTAATGTGAGGGTGTTTGTTTGTTTTGTTTCCTCAAAGGACACATCACACACTGGATCTCCTAGTCAGAAACCTGAAGGCAAAGAAGACGGCGAAGCAAAAGAGGTTCAGAATAAAGACGAAACAAAACCTGCTTCGGACGAGGAGACAAAAGCACAGGAGGAAAGTAAAGATGACGTCGCAAAACCAGACATCAAAGACCAGAAAACAGGTACAGATACAAACACATTAGTCACTAGGTCTGGTAAGAATACTTTATATTCTGTAGATCAGGACAAATCTGGCCCGCAAGACCATTATTTGGAATGATTTTCAATTATTATTATTACAAAAACTTGCAGCGTTGATGGTAATGGGATATACTGGCATGTTATACTTCATTTTAAAGCCTTTTATCTCAGGAAACTAACCATATTATTGAATCTGTTCTAAAACTCAAATGTAAGTAGTTGTAGTTAGTTAAATATGAACAATAACTAATTAAATATCAGTCTTCAAATAATGGTCTTCTTGATATTTGGCCAGTTGTGGTTGATGCCAAACCTACTGGAAAATAATATCCAAACTTTTGTTAAATTGAATAAAAACAGTTGATTTGTAAAAAGACCAAAATATGTACAAGTGTTTTTCTTTTATAATCTTTTTCGTTTGGCCCCATCCAGCTCGTATACAGTATTTTCAAACTTGGCCCCAACCAAATTGAGTTTGAGATCCTGCTGTAGATGATTCCATTTGATTTCCTGCTTTGGTAAACGTTTTTATACTTTGTTCATAGAGGAAGACATCGACAGAGAAGAAGAAAAGGAAGAAAAGGAAAAGAATAAGCCCGAGAAGCCCGAGGACACTTCCACGACAGACGCAGCTGACGTCAAAGCCAAGACCGAGACGTCAGACACAAAGAAAGGTTTACCGCTGTTTACATTTTGAAAGTAGCTAAAAAAAAAAACTAAAATATTCCGTTTATAACTAATGATGATTGCTCCACACAGAGGAAGTTAAAGGTGAAAGGGAGGCCGTGAAAGAAGTGAAGGCATCAAAGGACGACGTACCCAAGGGGAACGGGAAGTGTCCCACAGAAAGGCCCCGCTTCATGTTTAACATCGCTGACGGGGGATTCACTGGTGAGTTAACCTTTTCATTATCAGGGTCAGCAGTTTCCGAGACTTTTTGACTTGTCTCGGTTTTATATTTCTGGGTTTAAAGCTGGGGTTTTTCTTTTTCTTCTCATAAATCACGCAATGTATTTGTTCCAGCAGAAAGAGTTTTGTAAATAATAATAATAATAATAATAACATATATGGCGGTTTTTTTGGACTTTACAAAACTTTACAAGACTTAGACAGACTTTATTGATCCACAAGGGAAATTGCGTTGTCACATATCCCATAGTATTTCACACAAAAATAAAATAACATTAATAACAATAAAAATAACAACACAAGTAGTAATATGAAAATAGTAATAATAATAATAATAATAAGATAATATTTATATAATTTATATTAACTTATTTTCCTTTGCATTGATGTACGAAAGAGCCCTGTGAGTCACTATTTGATGCTTTGGGCTGAGACTGAGTGAGTGGGGTATCTGAAAAAGCTGGCCAACTATTCATGCATGAGAAAACTAGCGATTGAATAAAACTGTTGTAGTTCCAGGTACTAGATTTAGATTTAAAGAAACATGAAGGGGTTAAAAGCCAATAAAATCCCTAATAGGCAGTAGTTCTCCTTTTTGTGGTTTGGAAGTTAGGTACCCCAGCTTTAATGGTTAGTAAAATACTTCCGATATATCACGTTTTCTTTGTTTTCCTCTTTGGCTCAACGTGGAGGCGGAATATTTTCTCCCTCACAACCGTAGCGGCAGATTAAGTAATGATGATTGCTTTCCTGTGGACATTTTAAGCAGCTAAACGCAGATTGTGCAAAAACAAAGAATTGATTTGACGAAAGGTGAAATGAAACGAAAAATGACAAATAGCAGGTTTGTTTTGTACGTTAGATTTAGGAACGGGGGGGGGCCTAAGCGAGCCTTCATACCAGAGCGCTGATCCAGGACTATCTGCAGCCTGATCACAAACCCAGAAGCAGTGGAAACACCTGCAGCCACATCTGACCAGCTCAGCAGTTCTCTCTCTCTCTCTCCTTTTCAGAGCTCCACACTCTCTGGCAGAACGAGGAGCGCGCCGCCATCTCCTCCGGGAAGATGAACGAGATCTGGCACCGGCGACACGACTTCTGGCTGCTGGCTGGGATCGTGGTGTATCCTTGACATGGCGCGGCCGAGCAGTGACCCGCGCGCTTGTTTGTTTTTCCATCAGCCGGCAGAAGCGCGGTGGGATAAGTAAACAGGCCGGACCACCACTCGATAAACACCTAGCATGAATACGGGCCATTTAGTGCATGTTGTTCTCACTGTGGCGGTAATTACGACACAAGTATTTTTACTGCTTTGCAAAATCACTGATGTCTTTTGCAATAAAGAGATCAAGATAATGGCAATTTCTTGATCTCTGGCAAACAGAGAATGATCCACATCCTGGGGACATTATTTACAGCAACACTTTTCTTATTCATGCTCATGCCCTAACTTCTCTGATTCTTTGGAAGGGCAATGTTATTTTTTTAGTGTTATATTGTTTAACATCATCTTGCTCCATTCCAATTGAGGCTTGTTTGTTTCCATGTACGTTATGCCGTGTTCTGCATTTCTGCTCAGAAATTTCTATATCGATCTGCTGTTCTCTGCCCACTGCAAAGCTCTCATGTGGTTATTATAAGATAGGATTATACGTTATTGATCTCACAGTGGAGAAATGTACAATTTTTACATAAGTTCATGAGCAGAAGAAAATAAATAATTCAAATGATTCAATATTGAAAATCTCCTCTGTTAAATTTGTGTTTAGATGTAATTTTCTGTGTTTCTTCCATTTGAGACACAGCTTTTACGCAGGCTGAAGGCTGGAGGCTGAAGGCTTCCCAGTATAGATGACATAGCCCTTAACCCCAGCCTCAGACATGGATATGCTCGGTGGCAAGACATCCAGAACGACCCCCAGTTTGCCATCGTCAATGAGCCTTTCAAGTCACAGGCAAATAAGGGCAACTTCCTGGAGATGAAGAACAAGTTCCTAGCACGACGATTTAAGGTCAGTAAGGTCGATGAATGACAAACACTTTTCTCCGAGCCCTACTCTGAGGAAGTATATTTCTTGACTTTCTTACTCACTCCTAACCCGACATTTAGACTGAACTGAATGGATGCTGACGGATGCACTTCTAAAACATCTTCTTCCTGTTTCTGAAAGACGACCGTGTTTCTGATCCTTCCCCTTTATGGACATTTAATGTATTGCTCTGTCACTCACGCCTGTTGTGGAAAAGAAAAGGTCTCTGAGGAGCTAATGTCATCTGTGTTATATAATTCCTCTGGTCTTGTCCAGAAAATGCCCGCCGGAGCCCACGCGATGAAAGTTATGTGGACTAGAGTCTGTGTACGAGAGGACAATGAGGTGTTGACTGAAACACCATACTCTAAATTACATTTGGCTTATATAATCTCATATTTGTCTTTTTAGGGCAGCAGCAATGCTTCTTTTTTGGTCTGTGAAGCCAATTTAGCTCACATTTTGAGGGCCAAAAATGTGAGATTTGGGACTCAGGATATAGTTTGACCACCTTTGTTCCAGTGGTGTTATTCTCTCATTCAAGTCTTTGTATTACCTTAATTCTATCATTTGTAAAACACTTTTAGCCACAGATTATTTAAGGAATGGATTGTACCAACATTTTACATTTGAATCAGGCAATCCCAAACTAAGGCCTGCGAGACCATAGTTCATCCAGCCAACTTCAGCCCTGCCAGGATAGACACACTATACATCATTGTAAATCTCGGAACCTGTGACATCCAGTCATTAACTTTTGTGTATACTGACAGACTGTTTTTGATTGTGTCTCAAAATTCTTTGTCTTTCTTTTGTCGTTTGGCTGACTTCAGTTCTGTCAAGCATGAATCAATATGGGCATGTTATACCTCATATTAAATCCAGTCAAATCAGATTTATAATCGAGGTTTATCAGCCCCTGGACAAATCTGATTAACTTAGGTGGCCCTCTTACAAAGAAGTGAATTGTATTGGGCGGCACGGTGGCTGAGTGGATAGCACTCTCGCCTCTCAGCAAGAAGGTCCTAGGTTCGAATCCCGGTTGGACCAGGGCCTTTCTGAGTGGAGTTTGCATGTTCTCCCCGTGTCTGCGTAGGTTTCCTCCGGGTGCTCCGGTTTCCCCTACCACTAAAAATATGTACAATAGGTATGGCATGTGCCTCCTGTACTGGCACCCCCACCCAACAATTGTAAACCGCTTTGAGACTCCGATGTGCAGTGAAAAGGCGGTATATAAATAAAAGCTTACTTACTTACTTACTTACTACTATTATACCAATGAGGTGCCTTCTCTATCCAAATGCACGTAAGATGTTACTATGGGATCATTTGTCTGCAAATTACAGCCGATAGAGTCAGAGCAGCTACAATTGGCTCCCTTTGGTGAAAGTCAATGACTATGGGTGACACCACACTCAGCTCACATCCCACTCAGTCAGTTCACTTCCCATTACACCATTGTTGGAGCCTAAATGCTTTTATTTTTTCATTTTTACTCATTAGGAAAGACACATATACTCAAAAAAGGGCAGATAATTAGAATAATGCTCATGCCAAATACCACATCAGGCTTTCTGGCCTACGTTATTTTATCAGTTGATGGTGTATTTGTCGACCAACATTATATTTGACTATTGTTTTATTGAAATGATGAGAATGTATATGTAAAACAGTAAAAGTCAGAAGAAGTGGTGCCAAATTCGTTATTATCAAAACAATACAGTGAGCAGCTAAATTGATTTCTAGTGATTTTCTGCCAAAATAATTGTTTTTGAATGGAATTAAAGTGTGCAGTTTGGCTCAGATAATACCACATTAATTAGCTCTGTATTTGGTGTCTGTTGGTTTTCGATGACCTAAACTCACGCTCCCCTGTGAATCTTTCAGCTGTTGGAGCAGGCGCTTGTGATCGAGGAGCAGCTGCGGCGGGCGGCGTACCTGAACATGACGCAGGACCCCAGTCACCCGGCCATGGCCCTGAACGCTCGCTTCACCGAGGTGGAGTGTCTGGCGGAGTCTCACCAGCACCTCAGCAAAGAATCTCTGTCAGGGAACAAGCCGGCCAACGCAGTCCTTCACAAAGGTTAGACAACACAAAACACAGAGAAAATTCAGCTTGGATTCAAATCAATTCAATATATTCTTGTGAATCCCTAAATCACAACAGTAGTAGAGGGGTCTTGGGTCGGCGGGATTGTTTTTAACCAAACTGTAAAGCACTTTGTGTTGCATCTTTTGTATGAAAAGCGCTTTATAAATAAAATTTGATTGATTGATTGATAGTTATCTCGGAGGACTTAAAGGTGCAGTAAGCGATGTTGTTAGCTTAGCCATAGCACCAACTCAAAACCACTCCCCCCCCCCCTCGCCTCTCCACCAAACCAAACATCCAGTAATTTCTTTTCTCTGTCACAACTGAGAGAGTGGGTGGCAAACGTGAAATTGCAATTTTCTGTTCAGCCCTTTTAGGTTTTAGAAAATCCTTTAACTCAAGTGCACTCGCGAGAAACAGGAAGAGGGTGAAGGGAGTAAATGCATCCCATTGGTTTATGTTTTAATTTTTGGAGACTATAGGCATCTGGTCAATTCCATTAATCTTTGAAAACACATGATAACTGGACTACTTTTAGGGATTAGGGACGTTTTCCCAAAATATAAAAAAAAAATGCGTCTGGAACAAATCACTGACCGCATCTTTAACAAAACGGTCAAATTCGCCAACACAGATCAGAGAATCAAACCGTTCAAACACATGAAATGCAGTGATAAAAACACATAGAGCCATTGGTCTATAAATGTTGTTGAATGTTGAGTGTCCTGGATCATCACAGAATCTACGTCTGAATCCTCATCACAATATTGTAGAATCCCTGTCATTCTGCTGGAGCTATGGGTTGGATTTGCTGCCTCTGTCAGACTGCGTAACTGGTTTAATGTGTAATAGCTCCGTAATACTCTGAGCTGTCTTCCATTAAAGGCTCTTCACTTAAGCCGCAAGAATCATTTGTGAGGCCAATCCCACACAAATAATGAGAATGTTTATAGGATAATTAGTTTCATTATTATTTCATTGTGTACTTGTGGCGTCAGCAGCTCGCGTCTTTGCATTTCGGAGCATGTCATCAGGAGAAATTTTCGCATGAGTCATGAGTTTCAGTCCAGCTACAGACAGCAGCACAGTAAAGGAACACATTGTGGGTGGGAAATTGGAAACATTTGACGATTCTTTAGGATTGCGCTTATTTGGGCCACAATTCAATATAGTGCGATTCTTAACATATCACGATTCGATTCTGCGACATATTGCAATCCAAATTCAAAGGCATTGCAAAATTTGAGGAAAATAAGACTGCTTTACTTTATTATGGTCTACACATATGAAAACAACTTTATCCTTAAATATTCAGGACCAGAACCTTGTTACAGGACAAGTCATCATCTCTTTCACATGAATAGTGAGCTCCCAGCACTTAACTTAAATAATTCAAAGACAACAGACAAGAGGAACAAAAATCAGACATAATAGAGTCAGCTCAACCTCAGATGTAAACTAAATAAAAATATTGCAATATATATCGCAATACTTTTACCCCCTCCACTAGAAAACCATCCATTTTCTTCCCCTTAATCCATTTCTGGGTCGGGTAGGGTGGCAGTCAGAGCTGCACCCAGTCCCAGCCCCACACATAGTACCAGCCCCACATATAGTACCAGCCCCACACATAGTACCAGCCCCACACATAGTACCAGCCCTACACATAGTACCAGCCCCATACATAGTACCAGCCCTACACATAGTACCAGCCCTACACATAGCACCAGCCCCACACATACTACCAGCCCCACACATAGTACCAGCCCCACACATAGTACCAGCCCTACACATAGTACCAGCCCCACACATAGTACCAGCCCTACACATAGTACCAGCCCTACACATAGTACCAGCCCCACACATAGTACCAGCCTCACACATAGCACCAGCCCCACACATAGCACCAGCCTCACACATAGCACCAGCCTCACACATAGTACCAGCCCCACACATAGCACCAGCCTCACACATAGCACCAGCCTCACACATAGCACCAGCCTCACACATAGCACCAGCCCCACACACAGCACCAGCCCTACACATAGTACCAGCCCTACACATAGTACCAGCCTCACACATAGTACCAGCCCCACACACAGCACCAGCCCCACACATAGTACCAGCCCCACACATAGTACCAGCCCTACACATAGTACCAGCCCCACACATAGCACCAGCCTCACACATAGCACCAGCCCCACACATAGTACCAGCCCCACACATAGTACCAGCCCTACACATAGTACCAGCCCCACACATAGCACCAGCCTCACACATAGCACCAGCCTCACACATAGTACCAGCCCCACACATAGCAGGAGCCCACTAGAAAACATTGGATTAAGGACATCAAAAACAGTGTGTGAGGGTGACTGGTCATGAGGGAGAGGATTGTCTGAACAGGTGAGTTTTGTTGCGGAGGTCGAGGGGATACACCACTTCATCACTGTTTTATGACGTTTTAAGTCGGATTATGTGAGGTTTAGGTGTCGATGATAGAGCCCTAAACCACAACAGTAGTCATCTCTGAGGGCTTTACAAAGTTGTAGATTCGCCAACACAGATCAGAGAACAATTAAAAAAACACATAGACACACATTGGTCCATTAGAATCAGAATCAGAATTATTTTCATTGAAATTGTGAGTAGCAGGAAGTGACAAACTGGAAAATTGCTTTGTTGCTTTGGCTCTCAAGTAAAAGTAAAAAGAGAATAAGACATGCATAAAAAGAAAATAAAAAATCTACGTAACATTTCATAAAAAACAATGCCTTATACAAAGGGACTCATGACCATTGCTACAGTGGGGCAAAAAAGTATTTAGTCAGCCACCAATTGTGCAAGTTCTCCCACTTAAAATAATGACAGAGGTCTGTAATTTTCATCATAGGTGCACTTCAATTGTGAGAGACAGAATGTGAAAAAATATCCAGGAATTCACATTGTAGGATATTTAAAGAATTTCTTTGTAAATTATGGTGGAAAATAAGTATTTGGTCAATAATAAAAATTCAACCCAATACTTGGTAATATAACCTTTGTTGGCAATAACAGAGGTCAAACGATTACTATAGGTCTTTACCAGGTTTGCACACACAGTGGCTGGTATTTTGGTCCATTCCTCCATGCAGATCTTCTCGAGAGCAGTGAACACGGACTTTCAACTCCCTCCACAGATTTTCAATGTGGTTGAGGTCTGGAGACTGGCTAGGCCACTCCTGGACTTTCAAATGCTTCTTACGGAGCCACTCCTTCGTTGCCCGGGCGGTGTGTTTGGGATCATTGTCAAAGCTCTCACTGATGGAAGGAGGTTTTGGCTCAAAATCTCACGATACCTGGCCCCATTCCTTCTTTCATTAACATGGATCAGTCGTCCTGTCCCCTTAGCAGAAAAACGGCCCCAAAGCATGACGTTTCCACCCCCATGCTTCACAGTTGGTATGGTGTTCTTGGGATACAACTCAGTATTCTTCTTCCTCCAAACACGACGAGTTGAGTTTATACCAAACAGTTCTACTTTGGTTTCATCTGACCACATGACATTCTCCCAATCCTCTGCTGTATCATCCATGTGCTCTCTGGCAAACTTCAGACGGGCCTGGACATGCACTGGCTTCAGCAGGGGGACACGTCTGGCACTGCAGGATTTGATTCCCTGTCGTCGTGGTGTGTTACTGATGGTACATTTTGTTACTTTGGTCCCAGCTCTCTGCAGGTCATTCACCAGGCCCCCCCGTGTGGTTCTGGGATTTTTGATCAATGTTCTAATGATCATTTTGACCCCACGGGATGAGATCTTGCGATCGAGGGAAATTATCAGTGTCTTCCATTTTCTGATAATTGCTTCCACAGTTGATTTGTTCACACCAAGCTGCTTGCCTATTGTATATTCACTCTTCCCAGTCTGGTGCAGGTCTACAATTCTTTTCCTGGTGTCCTTCGACAGCTCTTTGGTCTTGGCCATAGTGGAGTTTGGAGTCTGACTGTTTGAGGCTGTGGACAGGTGTCTTTTATACAGATAACGAGTTCAAACAGGTGCAATTAATACAAGTAACGAGTGGAGGACAGAAGAGCTTCTTAAAGAAGAAGTTACAGGTCTGTGAGAGCCAGAGATCTTCCTTGTTTGAAGTGACCAAATACTTATTTTCCACCATAATTTACAAATAAATCCTTTTTCACATTCTGTCTCTCACAGTTGAAGTGTACCTATGATGAAAATTACAGACCTCTGTCATTATTTTAAGTGGGAGAACTTTCACAATTGATGGCTGACTAAATACTTTTTTGCCCCACTGTATATATAAAGGGACAAACGACCGATGCTATATACAAAGGGACAGTTGACCAATGTCCATCACAAATGAAATCCCGACTATGAGTTACTTATTTTTATCCAAGAAAAGTCCAAATGAAACAAGACCAAATCCGTGTCTGGGAGTTGGGATCTTCTCGCAGGCTGTTCAGAAACCGCTCCTGTCCCTCAGCACGTCTGGGCATGTTTGTATTGTTTGAGAGGATTACTTGCTCAAACACTGCCCCGCTTGTATTTCTGCACATTAAACCTCATAAATGCCCATAAACATCATTATCGAATTGCTTCGCAGTCTGTAATCAGTGATACATTTGATGAAAGGCAACGATGACAGAAAGACAGAATAATAAATGATGGGGACACGATTCTTCGCCAAAATAGAATGGAACAAATTGGATGGAACTAGAACAAAACATAAGATAAAAAGGAAAAATGTGTCTTTTCCCATTCAAAATAACATTTGTAAAACTAACTGTGTTACTCTCGCTATTTTCCCGATTAGCTTTAAATAAAAGTCAACTATGTTATTCTGGCGTTTATTCATTATGTGTTCACTTGGCATAGGCTGCATTCTGTGCCAAATTCCAGCTTCAACAAATTACTTTTATTGAATTGGCGGTGGAAAAAGGCCAGGCCCACTGAAGTGAAGTGGAAAAAAAATGCAGAAAGTGCTAATGCAGCAAATATTTTCTTGAACATTTGAGACAGGCCTCAACTTTGACAATATTCATATCTAGGCTCAAAGCGAATGAGAGACTGCGTTTCATCTGGCAAGGCAAGTTTATTTATATAAGTTCATACAGAAGGCAACGCAAAGTGCAAAGATAGAGACAGTTACACAAGTCATTCAAATCATAAATAATCACAGTGCATTAAAAAGATAAAATCCTTCAGTTGTATGCACAGATAAACAGAACATTGTCAGAGAAGAAGCCTGTCTCACGTTTTCAGGAAGACTGTTCCAGATAGCTGCATAAATCTGAAATGCTGCCTCCCCACGTTTAGTTCTGGCTCTGGCTACCAGCAGGAGGCCAGTCCCTGTACTCCTCAGAGTCCCAGCAGGAGGCCAGTCCCTGTGCTCCTCAGAGTCCCAGCAGGAGGCCAGTCCCTGTGCTCCTCAGAGTCCCAGCAGGAGGCCAGTCCCTGTGCTCCTCAGAGTCCCAGCAGGAGGCCAGTCCCTGTGCTCCTCACAGTCTGAGTTGGTTAATTTGGCACTCATGTAATTTACAAAAAGACTCATGAGAAAACACACCCTTCTCGGTCTGTAAAGTGGATTATAAATACAATCTATTATTATAATTATTATTATTGTTATTGTTATTATTATTTGTGTATAACTGTTCCCCCCAGCCACAAGTACATACACCTTTGCAACAATACTTTTCATTCCACATTTTTCCACAATTCTTGAAGTAAATCTCTTCTTGTTAACTTTATAATTACTTTGATAAATGTTGATGTCATACTATTGGGAGGAAATCATGATTTATTTCAGATTTTATTTATTACATCACATAATTAGAGGGTCAGAAGTTTACATACACAGGGGTAATAGTTGATAGAATTGCCTTTAAACTGTTTCACTTGGGCCAAACATTTTGGGAAGCATTCCAAGTTTTTGACAGTAAATAGTTGGAATTTTGGCCCACTCCTCCGCAACAGATCTGATGTAATAGAGTCTGGAAGATTTATTCGGATTACACATCAGGAATTAGGAAGGTTTTTTTTGCTAAGATGTAACTTGAACTGTGCGTTTGTGCGTATGTAAGTAGATCCTGTTTTGTTGTTTTTAAAGACCAGACTGTTTTTTGTCGTTTTGCCTGTTAGCGTCATGGATCTATTGTCTTCCTCAGAGTGGTCACATGATGTACAAAAAACCCCGATCTGGGCTCATAATCTTTCGTATTTGGTTTTGGTACACTGCAAAAAGTGATAATAAGTAAAAAGGAAAATAAAGCCACAGATTCAATGGCTTGTCCTATTGGCAAATCTTGTTTTAAGACAATACTCAAATTAAGATAAAAAAACCCCCACTAAATTCAAGCAGTTATTACCCCTTTTTTGCATTTTAGTGAGTTAGCTATGGTATTAGATTCTACAAGTCTATTCTATCAGAACACAAAATGAACCTTGTTGGAATAAAAACTAATATTCTTTTGGAGATATATTCCAAGTAAACATATCTCATCTTGTGAATTGTGGCTTCAGTGTTGAACCAGTTGGAGGAGCTGCTGTGCGACATGAAGGCCGACGTGACCCGGCTTCCCGCCACCCTGTCCCGCGTCCCCCCCATCGCCGCACGGCTGCAGATGTCGGAGCGGAGCATCCTGAGCCGACTGGCCAGCAAGGGCACGGAGACGCACACGGCCCCGGTCAGTAGCCCAATTCAGACGCGTGCCAACCATAACGCAGCTCGTTATACGCCATTAGATTCTCACCAAAGGCTTGGCTTGGCCGCCTCATTCATCTTTCAGCTCAAATATAATTAGCGCTACTCTTTGTGACAGCCCATCCCTCCCGGACCCTACGCCACCCCCCAGAACTACGGAGCAGCCTTCACCCCCGCACCCCCCAGCGCCCTGCACCTCGGAGGGGCCAACTACAGCCAGATGCCGCCCGGATCGTTCATATCAGGTCAGTGAGAGGCAGTCTACGGATCATAAATAATTGGAAAGTTCTGCAGACAATCAAATTTCAAATCTAAATATGCTTATCTGCTGCACACATCTGGTGTGCTTACTTTGGAGGTTTCTAAAGTATATGCTTTGGTTACATACTGTTTGCATGTGTTTGTGTTCTTTTGACCGTTTTTGCGAAAAGGCAAGTTTTAACGACGCAGTCAAGCATCATGAGGCATATAAACTTCACCGTGTTTTACAGATAATTATTCAAAGATAACACAGTGAGAGTTGTTTGATTTCCTTGTGGATTTACAGTGTGTTTCTCTCCCAAAGAGTTATTGCAGATAACTATTACTGTGTCTGGCTCTCGAACTGATTTATCAGAGCCTGGAGTTTAACGCATCACTTGTCATTGTAATACCAAGAGCAGTTCTATAGTGTTAGCAAAACAAGTGGGCTTCCAAGATTGGCAGACATGTTGCAAAGATCAGAAGTTCACCATATAAATCATCTTGTTATTCAAGAAAATTAATGGGTTTTTTTTCAATTAATTCCATGTTTCTTGGAAAAACCATCGTACAGTACATTAGTAGTTCACAGGTTTGTGGTTAGATCTTCAAAGACGCATCACCCCAAATCAATCTGTCTACGTTGTTATAATAGCATAGCATTGGTTTCTGTGGCACGAGAGGTCATAAGTTTGATCCGTTTGCGTTTCATGAATCCAGGTTTGAAATTGTAATTACTACATTTAGTTATTGTTCCAGTTTGAATTAGATGGACTACAAGGAACGCCAAAAGCCTCATAATATCCAACATCATTATCACAAACATAACATTATATTACCACTGACAAATATGTCATATGGAGTTGAACTAGAAAAACAGGAAAATCTGTGGTTCAAAAGTGTGGACACTTTAAGGTCAACCATTTAGAAGCAATGGCTCGAAAAAGACTCCCGACCAGTAGCCTTGAATGAGTTGGGAGTTGCATGTCAGTCAGCTTTCCGTCGCGAGCGCTCATTACATTTGACAGTATGCAGAGGAAAACTGCCTGGACTTGATTACTTGGCATGTGATCATGGGCTAAACTGATCCAAATTGTTGCTTCTTTTGAAGATATAAACTGAGTCCTTTCAGTCTTTATATGGTCATATTGTTGTGGAGTAACAAAGAGCAAAAAACAGACAACGGAAAAATGGTTTTAAAAGTGCTTAGGTTTCACTTTAATCGCCAGACGTGTGGAGAATGCATTTACCTGACGGCTTCCAGAGTAGCCTTATTTAAACACCTCTGGTCGACACTTCAGCTCTTGTGCAGCTTAGTTGTGAAAACCTCAAAGTCCAGAGAGAAGCCCCATAATCAGGAAAACCATCTGCAGCGGGGCGCTCTGAAGTGGCTGCCAGATAAACACCTGAAATAGACATTACCAAAAGTGCAACGCAAACTGCCCCGGTGCGTTTGGCTTCATCTCGTTACATGTCGGACTTCAAAACCCTCAGCACATAACACAGACACATTTTGCAACGCTGAGGTTCTGTCTGGAGGGTCATCAAACCTGTCTGCCGCATGCTTGGATTATCATGCTTTCTTCTCATGTGGGGGGCTACTGCTGCTTTCCCTTGTCACGATAAATACAACTTATTATCCAGAGGTCGCTCCTTTTTTCTTTTCTGTGCCTCTGCGGTGTGTCAAAGCTCCAATACGATCTATTTTCTTATATTCAGCTTCGTGATAGCGTGTGGTCAACAGAGTCCGCTTGTGTGTCAGTGTTTGCAGATGTTTAGATAGCAGAGATGTTGCAGAGATAACTAGTATAACCCGATATTCCCCAATAGCTTTGGCCTGAAACCACAGCAGCCAGCTCTCCCAGTGCAGTGATGGCCCCCCTCGCTCTATAGTGATTTATGTAATTGTAGACTGAAACATCTGTCAAAGACATTGCATTTTGGAAAGCCTGGGCCTATCTCTGAAAATGTCATTATGCTCAGTCTGTCTGAGTCTGGCCATGCCAAAAAAACATTCGGACTTGGTGCCGAAGGTATTTTGAGAGGAAGAGAAACCACAGAAGGAGTTTGGTTGTGTAAACGCCATGTTGTGACTTGCAACGCGGCCGAGGGTTGGGTCGAGCTGTTCCGAAATAGTCGCGTGTCCAGTCCATTCAGTTTGAGGGGCCTCTGTGCAGAGGTTAGAATCCTGAACCCTGGCAGCAAACGAGACCACGTTTATGGGCTTGATTGGGATCACGCTGGTGCTTGACCATTTAAGGCCGAGTCAAAATCACAGACATTTTCTTGGGTTACAATAATAAATACTCTGAGTAGCAGCCATCTCCTGAGACTCATTCTCATCTGCACTTGTGTATACAAAACAAATGCCCCAGGCCACCTCGCTTTTACTATTTTAGCTCCAATGTCTGAACTTTGATTAGGCTGATTTCACAAATGAACGACTCTTCTGTGTTTGTAGATTGTAGATGTGTAAACTGTGTGAATTGTATTTTTGGACAAATTGTTTCAGCCACCATTACGCCACACGGAGAGCCACACATCTGCAGTGTACACACTCCTTGACCTGTGAGCTGCCCAGAGAGGCTGTCTAAAGTCCCTTCGGGGCGCTCTAAAGTGTGTCTGCGACTCGCCACTACAGTCTGCCGCTTGTCTGCCCCCACAGAAGCCGGCGGCGAGTCCTCGGGAGGGGTGTGCCCCAAGACCAAGGAGCACGACGTGGGGCAGCGGCAGCGCGTGGTGGACCTGTGGAAGGACGGCAAGTCAGAAGGGGCCATAGGCTTAGAGCTGAGGATGCCCAAGTCAACGGTCCACAGCATTATAGTTAAATACCGCCTAAGCAACACTGTAGAGAACTTGCCACGCAATGGACGACCAAAGAGACCCGGACAGGACAATGCAGGAATGTAAGAGCATGCGAAAGCCAGCTTCAAGGGAGGACAAGTTTGATGGAAACCTGAATGTACCAGGACAAAGTAAATTCCAAAAACGACTCAAGGATGGAGCACTTTGACACGACTGGAATGTAAAGGAATAAAAGGCAAACAGTGCAGACGAAAGGAGGAAGTTGTCAGCGAAAGTAGCGGCAGCACTTTGATCCGTGAAAAAAAAAAAACAAGCAATCAAAAGCTGGGAGAACGAGGGAAGAGGAGTGAAATACAGGCCCCGAGTTTTAATGATGTGTGTGGGAGGCAGAGGGGGTGAGGCGAGGCTACTCTCAAGTCTTCCAAGGAAAAGGCAATGTCTAAAAAGAAAAAAAAAAACATGCTAATTTTACATATCAAAATTGGCCAAAAATACTTTTATTAAAACATTTTCTCCCTCACCTATTTTTGGAGACTTCTTTGGCTTTTCTTCCTCCAACAGAGATTTCCCAGAGGATCAATTCTTCATGGTTCTGACAGGGTGAACACGGCTCTCACCCTGCACTCCCTCATTCCTCTACCGTCCACTCCTCTGACGCTCCCTCTCTCACACAAGCAGCCGTTTGTGCGCCGGGACCTCACAAAGTCCAAAAACTGCAATAATTTAACTTTTATGGTGACGTGGTGGTGACACAGCCTCTTCTTTGATGACTTATATGGCGGCATTCCTATTTATTGAAGCTGAGATTTAAAGGTGCACTATGTAACTTAAGGTGGAGGACACGCCAACTTCCACAAATATTCCGCAGTGTATGGCCATACAGGTCAGATCTGTGGATAGGCGGCTCTGCTCACGATAAGAAGGCGTACAATTACAATGTCTAGTGAATGTTTTTGAGATATGCCCATACATAATTGATGTCAGACCAAATAATAACACATCCTCGTACTGTCTACCAGAGAAGTTATGCAGTGCACCTTTTGAAAACATACTGTGTCTCTGTAGCATTTAAACCAGTGTATTCCAAGAATATTACTATCGCACTTTATTCAGGTAGCTTAAAGGGGAATATCACCAAAGAACCCAGACAAGAAACGCTCTTTTAAAATCCACTGTTTCTCCAAAGCTGCTGTAATTAATGCTCTGTCCCAGTGCTCTCCAAAAAGAAGACTTTGAAGAGATATCTTTGTTCAGGCTTCTTTATTGTGACAGCCTGATGGATTCCAAGCTGGAAAATGTCCCCCCGATTGCAGAGAAAATAAAACACTCTGGAGTCTGTCACGGTATTTTTTCCCCCTTCTCGTTTCCAGCCCCTTGCGCCGTGGAGCTGTACATCAGAGTGACATCGCAGAGTCGCAGCAGAACCAAGTCATCTGCTTCTTACAGGTTTTTTTTTGTAGAGAAAAGGCAGATTAGGTTTGGAATCCAAACATTTTTAAGGATAATGAGTGTGTTGTAAGCTGCAGCTCTGTGGTATTTCCCTTTAAGCTTGAAGGATGTAAAGTCCAAGGATGTGTGGTCGTAGTGTGGCCGGCAGTGATGGAACAGTGCGCGTCTTGATCTGGTGTTTATTTTGTTCATGTTTGGTTTGGTGGAAATATGCAGAGATCCCATTTCAACAACATGAATCCAAAACAAAATGATTTCCCTCACTTTAAAAGGTTTCATGTCATAAAAACTACAATAATCTTCACATTATTACAGATGTGTTCAGCTATATACATACCATAGAGACCAGAGAGACCAGAGAGACTAGAGAGACCAGTGAGATTATACAGACCATAGAGACCAGAGAGACTAGAGAGACCAGAGAGATTATAGAGACTAGTGAGATTATACAGACCATAGAGACCAGAGAGACTATAGATACCATAGAGACCATAGAGACCAGTGAGAGTGAAGATACCATAGAGACCAGTGAGACTATAGATACCATAGAGACCATAGAGACCAGTGAGACTATAGATACCAGAGAGACTATAGAGACCAGTGAGACCATAGAGACCATAGAGACCAGAGAGACTATAGAGACCAGTGAGACTATAGAGACCATAGAGATCAATGAAACTATAGAGACCAATGAGACTATAGAGACTGTAGAGACCAGTAAGACCATAGAGATCAATGAAACCATAGAGACCAGTGAGACCAAAGAGACCAGTGAAAATTTAAAGATCATAGAGACCAGTGAGACTATAGAGACCATAGAGACCAGTGAGACTATACAGACCAGTAAGACCATGGAGACCAGTGAGACCATAGAAACCATAGAAACTTCCCGCTTGTGTCGGTCCATCCTCACTTGAAGCCAGCCGTTACCCTACATTAACCTTCATTAGCACTTCCTCTTTCATATTTGCCCTGAAAGCAATATTTCCATCTAGAGTAAGATTCAGCATAGAAAAACGGAAAAGGGCAGGAAATCACAAGGTTGATCTAATTCATGAAAAGCGTGTGTGTATTTCCTACACACACGCTTTCCTATTTCCTTTTTAAAAAGCCATATTCTTGTATCATATAGACTACAGAGAGGCTGGAGAACTTGTTTTGGTTGTTTGTCCCGACTGAAAAGAATGTTGTCAAAGAATCAGACCAAAACATGCCGTCTTCAACTTTTGTTTATTTGTAGGATCCCTGTGAGTCACTTTTTGACTCTTTGGGCTGAGAGCCGCGTGATTGTGGTCGTCTTTTTTTCACCTTTCTGTCTGAAAATCCAAAACAATCTAAAATAGCGGAAAAAACCCGGGGATTCGAAAGCTAGTGATAGAACCATTGTTTGGAAAGAGCAGAACTAGTTACATGCAATTAAATACATATAGTTCCAATAGTGCTTTGAAAGTTAAGTACCCCAGCTTTAAATAACTCCTCTCTAACATGAATTTCTAAAAATAGTTACAGTTTCTAAACAGTTGAAGGGTTAGGGTTAGACTGTGCTATTTTATTTATGAAGTGGTCGACAATTTAGACAAGGTTGGTTTTTTTGGATTTTTTTGGATTAGGATTAGGGTCAGTCTCGTCAGTAAACACAGCCCCTCTCTCTCCGGGTCTATCGCAGCGGTCCGGACCTACAGCAGAGGCAACAAACCCAACTGCCTCCTGTTATAGACTTCCTTCGTCAAACTCCTGAGTGCAGAGAGCTGTCTGTAAATTACTGGATTAAACTGTAGTGTAAGCACAAGCACTGCCAGAGGGAAATGGGACCATAAAATAAATATAGGACGAAAGAGTTTTGTACAACTGTGAAGAGATCAAGGGGCCGGTATTAAAAGAGGAGACGAAGCTCGACTGTTCAGCACATCTAGACTCTATATTTGTCCTCGGAGTAAAATTAGAACATTTTCTAGTGTTCCTGGCATAACACAAGTGATTTTTGCAATCTTTTATAGTTTTATAGTAACCTCAAATGGCTTCTTAAGAGTCTGGCCCAAGCCTTTTGTTCTGAGACTGATACTGAAAACGAATGACAGCGTTTTAAGGTTCGGTTCATATAAAATGTCACTGGTCGTCAACGGAGCCAGACGATCTGTTCATAATTAGTGTGGAGGCTTTGAGATGGCGTTTCCATGGAGGCAACGGAACGTGTCTCTGAACTCTGGGCGAATCTAAAGCTTTGCAAACAGCCTCTGCTATTTCAGATCAAGCCGCTCTGCATGGCCTGAATCGGAATCGCTTTTAAGAGAGATTTGACCAGATTCGATGAGTTTTGACAAAGTTAATCAAGTCAAATCCTCACAAAGGGACGGTGTCTGGTGTAGTTATGTAACGTGGGTTGCCAGCTCTATACTGTATATAGGTACAGTACTCACCTCTTCCTCCAAGCTTATGGCTCTTAGTTTCAACTTTGTACTCTTCTTTCCTGCTTTTAGAGTTTTAGTTTGGTGTTTGTCTGTCTAAATGTGTGTGTGTGTGTGTGTGTATCCTGAATTGTGAAGCATCTTTGAGTTTTTGAAAAGCGCTATATAAAACCGAAGCATTATTATCATTATTATTATTATTTCTCACTACCAACGATAAGTGTATTTGAAATTGTATGAACTGAAGAAGAATTATGTTTCCAATATTTTTTGGCTCTTAACGATTTACTTTGTCAATTCATGTTTTTGATTGGGAAATATTATTTAAAGTGGGAAAAATATGATGACACAAGTATAAGGATGCCATCAGCCCGCCCTATCCCTCTGCTACCATCAAAAGACAGTGAAGATGTATAATTTTTTTTTTTTATTTGTTTATTTGTTGCTATGATTGACGTCATAGTAGAACATTGACATCACACTATTACAGGACTGAGACAAAAGCTTTTAAACAGGAGGGAGTTAGAAGTTTGTGCCTGAACTTCTTAATATATGCGTGGATAGATCTACAAAAACAACACCAGGTCTGTTTCGGATGCATGAACAATGTTGTAACATGTTTTAAAATCTCAAAAAAATAAGTCCAGTTTGCATAATACATCTCCTTTAAACCTAATCTGTCGCTAATGTGATCGATTCAAAGGCATAATCCGTATTTCTACACTTTACATATACATTATCCAATTTTACAATCCCTGCGTCTGTCGTGAACTCTGCGTCTCATCGTGTAAATGGCCTGCTCTTTCACCTCCATTTGTTTAGCTTTTATCGGCTATTCCACTCCTCTACCTCTCTCTCCATCCCTCGTGCTGGCCTCCGCTGGCCTGATGCCACACGTTTCCCCAACAGCGCCTCTCCAAGTGCGCGCAGGCAGTTGTGGATGTCTTCAGCTTAACACGGCTCTTATCGCGCGTTTTGATCGTTACAACTGTTTATTTTCTCCCGTGGCACTGCAGAGAGAAGTACGCTCTGTCTATTCTTGGCTTTGTTTTGAAAAGTAGCTGCACTGACACGGGAAGAGGCGATCCTTCACTGTTTGCAGACTTGTGATCGCTGCCGGCCTCACTATTGGGATTTCCAGTGGTGCGTTAACAAATGCACCATGTATCATTATGTACATATGACCGTTGATGTAATTAAGAGATATTCTATGCCTGATTTCTCATTAAAACATGTGCAGCTTTCTTTTTATTTCATTGTTGTTTGAGTTATTAAGATTGGGAAACCCTTCATTTGTCACACTGCGGGGAAAATTCAGTGTTGCATCAAATTAACAATAACTTTAGCCTATAAAAGCAAGTATAAAATCTTTATCTTTAGCATAATAGTGAAGCAAATCTACAATCTACTACTTTAGCATAATGAAGAGGCAAGAGTTAAAGATATATATATAGGAGGATTTTCCCAAATTTACGAGCACGTATCACCAGAATGATTGACAATTAGGAGGACCAATAGTCTTGAAGATCCACCCTGAAGTAGAAAATTATACCTTTAAGTACAAAATATCTGACTTTTCAGTATAACAAGGAAGAAAATGGGGAAAATTCAGTGTTGCATCAAATGAACAATAATTTTAGCCTAAAAAAGCAAGTATAAAATCTCTGGCTTTAGCATAACAAGGAATCAAGTCTAAAATATACAACTTTAGCCTAATGAAGAAGCAAGGCCTATCTGAGCTTTAAGCATAATAAGAAGTAAGTCTAAAATCTCTAGCCTCTGTAATATTTAAGTTATTTCTGTTCTTCTATAGTTTCTTAGTCGTTTGGAGATCGGCTTCAAAGAAGGTAAAGACCACTGGCCTCGGAGGTCTCTCACGAATGCTTCGAGTTGTTCTAAAACATAATTTATATCAAGTTCTCTGCCCCTTTTGAAATATGCAGTGTTCAAGATAAATTTGAAACTTATGCAAGAGTATGTCTTTATTTAGGATTGTTAAATGTTTTTGTTCTGTCTGCGGAGTTTCCATAAATATTCAAGCCTTGTCAACACGTGTTCATGAGAGCCAACATCAGAAAACATTACACCAGGACTAAATCTACAATCTATGTATTTATTGAATTGCATTATTCTGGTCTAGGATTTACTGGAATTGTTACTTCAATCGATTGGAAAATAAATGATCTAAATAATTGTGATAAAAAAAACGTTATAAATACTTTTATATCAGCGATCAGCACGGCTCTAATCCATCTTTAGAGCGTGCCTTCCGATGCCAAAACAGCGAGCCAAAGGCGAAGATGGCCACCTCCAAGTGAGTTTGATCCTCATGGTCTCAATGGATCAAAGAAAATTAGACCAAAATTGTAAATCTTGCTTTTTGCGAGAAACATCTTGATCTAATGTGTTTCAGTTTGACAGCATAGATTCTCTGTCAACTCACAGCTGATAAGTCTGGAGCAGAAAAGAAATAAAACAAAAAGCCTACAGATGTGTAACCTTGGGGTGTTGGAAAATATCAATGCAACAGTATATCACAATCTTGCAACATATTTCATCATATGTAAATGGAAAAAAACAAATTAAACAAATTTCTTTTAGGGTCAAAATGTTTAATGTAGCGTCTTGTCCTGCACTTACACTCCTGAACACTAGAGACACTAGAGAAACACTCACTTTTTCTCTAAGTGGAAGAGATGCATTTTTGGTCATCTTTTGGCCTACCGGTCTTTGTTCTACAATCGGCCGAACCAAGTTTGTTTCACAAAAGGGTGGATTTAAAGAAAACAAGGATTTCAAAAGAAAATAGTTCATGTTGACAACAGAAACTAAAATCCCTCAAAATACAACCTGTGGAGAAGCTGTAGGTTCCTTGTCAGCTGAGGATGAGACGGTTTAGGTAACATTGAAGTCTAGGGAAAAAATATCCTTACAGTCCATGAAAATTTAAGCTGTAGTGCCGCAGATGGCCTTTTGTCCGTGTGGAGACCGGTTTTAGCTCGAAATACTCTATCCTGATAATATAATACATTATGGGATCATCCACCACCATGCTGAAGACCGGCTTAAGCTAGAGATACCCTATCCAGATAATACATCCGTGTTTCTTCCACATTCTACAAAGGGTGACATCATAATTCCATTTGTCCACCCCGAAAATACGGCCTATGTTCATATTTATTAAGCCAGATACAATAGACACACTGTATTGTCTATAGTGTAAAAAAGTATAAAATAAATAGCTTAAGAGTGGTTAATCTTGACTGTAGATCCAGTGATATGTTTTCTATTCTGCCCCAGTCTCTCAGTCCCCCCTCAGGACTGATATCCCCACTTCCCTTTCAACATCTGAAACCGGATCTGGGTGAAAACATATGCCGAGACAGTGGACAGATGTATCACTGCCCCGCACTTACTTTATAGAGCATGCAGTGTTCTTGCCGGTCCGCAAAGTGGAAGCAGAAAGTTGGATCAGCGGCCGACCTTAAATCTGGTGTTTATTTGTCGTCCCGCAGTGTTGAACGGGCCTCCAATGTCTGTGAAGAAGGAGCGCGAGGCCGAGTTTCTCATCAACCGACGGGAGCAGCGCAGCGGAGAGGTCATCTGCATCGACGACTAGACCCCGCCCCCTTCGCACTCGTTACCATGGGAGACGCAAGCAGGTTCAAGGAAGTAAAATTGCCCATTCAAAATCTCCATAGGGACTTTGAGAAAAATAAGTACTGAAAAATTGAAATTAAAACTTGTTCAATTGTTGAGGAGTGGATCTGAGAAGTAATGACCACAAGACCTAGACCTACAACAGTACGCAGAGTTTTAAGTTTTAATTTCCCTTATTGGAGGAAAACAACCAATCGGTGGATAGTAGTAACCAAGGACCTCGTCTGTAGAACACGCAAAAGTATAAAATGTTACGTTAAGTTTGTGATTATGAAAAGACAACCAGAAATGAGTGATTTGGTCCAAAAAAATAAGACAGAATGTGTCAAACTCAAGACAATCGCGAAGGGAGCGAGTTTGTGGAAGTCTTTGTTTTCGTCGTACGTAGATTTTAAGTAAAAATTCTACGTCGAGTTTTATAAATGAGGCCCCAGATTGCACATCCTCTGTCTCGCGTTATTTGTATTTTTCAAAACTCCTATGGCGACTTTGATTGCGTACATTTTACTTCCTGGTTACTTGCAAGCTCCGCCCCCTTTCGACTGACTGAATCCATACCTATTTTTGATTGTACTCGCTCCTATAGCGGCCGGTTTTTACAAGAGCTGTAAATTTGGGAAACAATCTTTTTATTTTTTGGGGTGATTTTGAATTTTTTTCTCTCTTTTTGTAAACTGGTACTTCTTCTCCACGCAGTATTCCCACGCACATGTGCACTTACTGTCCCTCGCATACAGTCCATTCAGTTCCTCTTGACTATTTTCTGCCTCAAACCGAGAGTCCTCATGACGACCGAGCCACGCAAACCGGGCCCGGCGTTCCTCTAGGGATCCTAGTGACTAACCTCGACAGGAAACTGCATGTGATTTCTCCATCCCTCTAAGCCAAGCATGCTCCAAACCCATTATCAAGTAAAATTACGAAAAAAATAAAAATAAAAATTAACAGCTGTGCCTACAATTGTTTTAATACTGTTTTTTTTTTTTGAGAGCCTATTTCTCAGTCTTGGGAGGATTTTAGCACAGCCGACTTTTTAGCGTTTTTTTTTTTTTTTCTCCGACGGTACTTCTAGCTAACGCAACGCAAGGTGTAACTTTTGGGTTTCTTGCCGCCGTCCTGCAAGCGCTCCACTCTTTGCCATTTGGGATTTTGTTTTTGTACAGAGCTATGAGGTATTCTCAGAGGGGGCCACACATAGGGCCTCGGCAATTGCTATTTTTCACAAATTATCTCCTTTGAATGTTTATAACCTTAAGTAAGTAAGTAAGTCGGCGTTATCAGACCTACTCCTCTCTCTCCTCAGTGTTACATTTTCCATATTTCTATTCCGTTCTATCGATCCTGTGATATTCTTTGCATATTTAAGCATTTGTGATTATAACTTGTGTTTTTACTCTACACAATTTTGAGTATTGTTGTCGTCGATGTTGCTGTTTTATTCTCGTTGCTACTATTTGAGAAAGAGCTTCTACCAAAAGAGACATTTTTGTAACAATGTGTGCGACAGGAAGCACTTAAATTTGCCACGCCTGTCCTGAAACTGAAGAGAACGTTGGCCTCTCACTTTAGAAGTGGATATTAGACATTTTTTTTGCTTACATTTTAGATTTGGGGCTTGCAAATAACATGTATGAAACTATGTAACCCTAAAGGCAATTATAAGCAAATAAAAATGTATCTTATTGAATTTCAAGTATTATTCCTAAAAATCCTTGGCTGGAAATCCATTTTACACAGTTGTCATTAAAAAGCGCCTTAATAATCATAGCTGGAAATGTAAGTCATTCAATTAATTTATATACCTGATGTCAAGTGTAAATCCTAGTGTAGTTTGATTTCATTTAACTAAAACCGTCTAGTCGAAGAGATATCCCCATTCCCATGCGTTTTGCACGGTTCAAACCCGGAAATTCAATTCGATTTCCGAGGTTCTTGCGACCCCCGAGCTAAAATGTTGCGTTGCATAAATGAAAGCACTTAGTTCTTTTTCTCCATGTTCCCTGCCTTGTCGTCGGGCAGGTTTGTGTTCATTTCTGGGTATCTTGTGTCACTGTGTATGTAGTGATGAAATGATGAGTGGCAGTGAAAACATGTCGATGATAATGACGCATCTTTGATTTTATTTTTATTTTTTGGTTTATAATAAAACTGAATGAATTAATGCAAAGGCTTTGTCACTTCTTTTATATATAGTATATATATATATATATAGCTATTCAGATGCCTTCTTTCATGGGGGAAACGTCCGCTCGCCTTAGCAACCATGTTAGCAACACAAGTGGTGCGAATCTAACGCTGTCTGAACAAATGCCCATATAAGGATATTGGCTCCAGCTAGCTTATGGGGAAATCAGCTTCTTTCACATTAAGGCTAACACTGTGGTTGACGTCAGCACTCGATCAGTCCACTTCTAACATAATATCTTACATAATTATATGAATGAGTCTGGTTAGTCACTTCTGTCAGTGTGCCCCAGGGCAACTGTGGCTACAGAAGTATGTCAGATCTTTGTCTGTGAGGTGATGGTCAGTGGTGTCAGAGAGAGTCCAGGCTGAAGTGGTGGGCAGCCTCACAGGAGGCAGAATGTTCATGACAGAAGTGACTCACTGCTGAGCTGTCATTACTGAATAAATCATAGAACACTACTGTAGGACACTGAACAAGAGTTACCCCTGTACAGGAGGTAAAGTGAGCACCAGTGTTTGTTTGTCTGTCTGTTTGAGCAACTTCGCTCATAAAGTTATGGGAGGATTTGGATGAAATGTTCAGTGACCTGAACACAATTTGGAGGTGATCCGAGTCACGTCTGGATGCAGCATCTTTGGAACTGGGATGGAATGAAGTCTGAGGGCCTTTCGAGTTACTTATATAGTATGTACTGTATATAGTATTTTAATTTTATAGTTACTTATAGCGTATTAGCTTTTAATTTATCAACTAGACTTTGTAAAACTAAATGTAAATCATACATCACCTTTATCCACAGAGAGCAGTCCTTTCCAAAACTTCCACAATGATATGGAAGAGTAGATTTGGAGCCGGTGTTTCCAGGACCACAGGTGGAGGCTGAGGAGACGTCTGTAACTCGATGCCACAGCTTCAGTTCACAGCAGATGGTTTATGAATCACATTGTTTCATATTTAAAGCTGTGGAATCTAACTATTTTGTTTCGTAAACAATATACTCACCTCCACAAAAAAATAACTAATCAAATTACAACACACTGTCTTTGTTTAGAACACATGCTGAAGTTTTAGCTCTAATAATCTCATAAAGAATATGACATAGACATAAACTATACCTCCATTCATCCATTTTCTTCCCCTTAATCCATTTCTAGGTCAGAGGGGTGGCAGTCAGAGCCGCACCCAGTACACAGAGCACCAGACCCTCACTGATCCTCCTGCACTGCTTTGAGAGTTAATTAAATGTGTAATTTTGTTTGATCCATGCATTGATTTTTTTGACTGTATAGAATTCCTGCGTCAAACATCAATGAAGGTCCACTAGTCACCATTTAATATCCTTGTCTTCCAAACAGATGGTCTACAGACAACACCAGAGGCCAAGTTATTACTCAGAATACAAATGTGTGCAGTTTAGACAAATAACACTTCAACCAAAACTATAAGAACATTTGGTTTATTATAAATGTGCTTTAGAAAAGAAAAAAGAAATCTGGAATTACATACATCATGATATAAAACACAATTTTACAAAACGCAATAAACTTTGACAGTTCTACAAATAGAAAAAGGAGGAGAGAGAGAGAGAGAGAGAGAGAGAGAGGACCATGTGAGAAAGACTTTTCCTCAAAGATTCTGTGCTTTAGGGTCAAATTCAGGAAGTGAAAGAGGAGCGAGCTGCCAACGTGTGGGATGTGCAGTCTGCTCAGTGCTGATGGAGAAATAGGGCACAAGGCAGAGTGACCAAGACATAAGCAAACATTAGGAAATCAATGTCTACACCCAAGATTTTCCGTTCAAAAGGATCAAATTTGGCTCTAATTAAAAAACTCCTTTCGCTGCAGTAAAGTGCTCAGGAGAAACCATTGTGGTCTGTCCGCAAAACTGCTTATAAACAAGAGTGGGAGTGTTCCAGCCCTCTGCTCGAAATACTCACTGTTTGTGTTGTAGCATTATGACAGAAAGCAGCTCCAGCATATTAAAGAGACATTCAGAATAAAATCACTCTCTGTGTGGGAATGCAAAGTCAAACAAACATCAGCGAGAGTCACAGTGAATGATGCAGGACGACGGTTTTGGTCTGAGACAGGAGCGGAGAGCCCTAAGAGTCTGTATGTGACTCTTGTGGCTGTGTGGAGACGAGCTCCTGTTTTATGATGATGTAGAAAAGGCTTGAACAGACTCCGCTGCTCAGTAGCTGGTAGCATATATAGGAAAACCCATTTCACAACGTAAAGAATGTTCAAATATAATGAAACACGCATTGAATAACTACATAATGTACCTTTAAATCAAAGTGTCCTTCTTTACAAAAGAAGATTTTTTTTCAAGACACAACAATAAAATATCACATAACCTTACAAATTCACATCCATGTTATGAAAGCAGCTCTTGAGCATCCTTAAATAGGATTGGGATAAAAGAGGCATTGGACACAAACACACACATATTGCATTGTAGGAGTGCCAACTATTTGGTAAAAAAACACCAGAGTATAAAGAGGGTCTGGACTGAGATGTGACGTGAGCGCACTATCTCAACAAAATCAAACTATCTCAACAAAATCAAAGTGGAAGGTGCATGCACAGCTTTACTGTCTGAAGTCTTCTCATGAAAAGAATGTAAGCACGTTGTGGACCGCGATACAAAGGCTAAGATGAAAATCCATGTACTTCTGCCTTCATATGCAGCCCTTATCGAGAGAACAGTTTCCATTACATTTGCTCACACAGACATTCATCCAGGAATTTCGGTCCATTGTGCCTTGGTACCTGTCCAAAGTCTATATTGAGTTCCAAAGACGCGGAGTGAAGTCCAGAAACTGTCCAGAACAACTTCCACAAATGGCAGACTTTGCTTTTTAAATTAACATCAGCATTTTGCGATGGCCCCAAAAACTCGCGACCACAAAAAAGGCACTGCCGCACAATAGAAGTTTGACCACAGGCTTTTTCCTCGGGCGAGAGCGTGCCGTCAGTTGACTTTGAAGATGCTGAAGACGTGCGGAGAGGCGGAGGGGTTGCCCACAGTGTGCAGTCTGAAGGAGGGTCCCGTCACGGCCTGCAGCTCGGCGCCCCTCTCCAGCCGCAGCAGCCCTGACACCTGGCACGGCTTCAGGAAGTGGAAGTTATGAGGCCCGGCCGAGGGGGTGGTCCCGTAGCCCTCCATGCACTGCAGCTTCTGAGGCCTGTGTCCCACGGTCACCACGTCCAGCTTCACGTACTGCGACTCCTGCTCGTTGAACAGGACCTGGGGGACAGAGGGGGATGTCTGGGTTCAGTTCAATGTGTTTTCGTATATACCTAAATCACAACAGTTGTTACACTGCAAAAAGTGATGAAAAATAAGCTTTTGCCAAATATTTTATATGGAAAAAAAAGCAGTTGATCTTGCACTTGTCTTTTTGGGTGTCTTCTATATGGACATTCAATATTTATATTATTATTATTATTATTGAAAAGGGTTTTAGTTGATCAATTTCACAGCATCAATTGTTTCCTGCACTTTTTAAGCTTGTTTTATTCCTGTTCTTTTCTATTTATGTACTTTACGTGTGCACATGGGGGACTTTTGCAACTGTATCCCACTGTGGTTTTACTGCAAATGGCAAAAAAAAAATCGGAAAACTGAAAAAATATCTTAATTTGAGTACATTCTGACTGCCTTGAAACAAGATTTGCCAATAGGACAAAGCAAAATAATCTTGTTTTGAAAAGACACAAGAACTGTCTCCCTTGGAATGAGAAAATAAAGCGACAGTTCTCGAAATAAGACTTAAGGGCTTTGTCCCGTTGGTGAATCTTGTTTTAAGACTGTCAGAATGTGCTCAGATTAAGATAAAAACAACTTGATTCAAGCAATTATTACCTCATATCCCTCCCTTGTCATTTTTGCAGTGTATCTCGGAGGACTTGACCAAACCGTCAAAAACATAGAGCCGTTGGTCCATAAATGTCCATAAATGTTGTTGAAAGTGGAGTGTCGTGGACCATCGCCACTGTCCTGAGACCCTCGAGTGTGTTACAGATGTGTTTCAGACATATGTAACACCTCTTTATCTTTTCATCTATTGTTTAAAGGTCCGGTCAGTCCAGGGGTCAGCTCACTGCCGCACACCTTCATTACCATTTATGGACCTTGGTCATCTCGCTCCAATGGCTCCTATGTGTTTGTTTTTATTGTTGCATTATTAGTCAAATCAATCAATCAATCACAGAAATAAATGAACTTTTGAGCAATATTCTGAAGTTTCACCTCCATTTCTCCAGCATATCTTCACACTTTTTTTGAGGCTCATGGTTTTCGGCCTCGATCACATTGTGCTACCACTACCAACAAAATATTTTCAACAGCTGTTTCTATATTTTAGCCAAACCAGTCCTGAACCTTCATCGAATTGGACGATTTCCAAACAGACTGAATTAGGGTGCAGCATGAGACTGTTATATACTGTTACAAATTCATATAGAAAGTAACCCAGCCTAGACCTGGACCATACCTGTTATAACGAGAGTAAATATGTGTTTTCCCCACTGTGCGACTAATAAACTAATCATTCATTCATTAGTTTGACAGTAGCTCAGTTGGTAGAGCATTGGCCATCAGGCCTGAAGGTCGTGGGTTCAATTCCCACCTCTGCACCTTCTCCACCGACTCCCACTGATGACTGCTGTCGTTGTGTCCTTGGGCAAGACACTTAACCCCACTTTGCCCAAAAAGCCCCCACTGAAAGATCAAGGCTATGCTCACACTCAGAGAGCAGCCGTCCTCCTGTGGACTCACCACCTGCAGAGGGTCAGTGAGGGGCTGGTGCTATGAGACTTGGGTGGTATCTCTGACTGCCACCCCCCTGACCCAGAAATGGATTAAAGGGTAGAAAATGGATGGATGGCATTCATTCATTCATTCACTTATTAATTTGGAGAGATAGCAGCAAGTTATTTCATTATTAAAAGAATGTATATCTCTGTATTTTTTCGACAAACGTAGTCCCTCCCCTATGACCAGTAGGATTTGCTGGAGGAGAACAGTTTAACCAATAACCAGAGGCCTCATGGTTGGATTTCATTTCGACCAATCAGAGAGCTGCAGGGGTTGAGCATGGGCGGTCGTTTCATTAAATGCACCAATAGATCACACAAATTGAAATCAACAACATTTGCTGAAACAGTGTGATATTAATATGACTCTTTTAGTTGTGGTCCTTAACCGACTCCTCTAAATTTAAACTATTTTCGTTTAAATCAGACTCTCGTCTCCGACACAAACTTAACTTTATTCTTCCTTTTGCCAGTACCACCCAGAAGCGGATGGCTATCTCAGTGGCTGGAGTCAAGCTGTGGAACTCCATGAAAGACACTTTAAAAAACTCCACAAATATTTTTCAGTTTAAACAAATATTCAAGGAAACAATAATTAAATCATATGAACTGGAAATTAAATGAAAGAGGATTATTTGTTTTGATGAGCAAACCCTGCTTGTGGCATGTTTTGTATTTGTTATTTATTTGTGACTGATGTGTTGTTACATCAGACCATCTTGAAAAATGTTGTTTGTTTTTTTGGAGAAAGGGGCACATAATATAAGTTTGTCTTCTTTGTGCTCCTTTTCAATTGTCTGACTACTAGTATTATTTTATGTAAACATGTAAAAATGAAAGAATATTCAGAACAATTGAAATAAATAAAAAATGAAATGAAATGAAATATATATATTTATAACTTTCCCAGAATACCCCACAGTCCGGATTTCTACTTTTCCCTCTGTAAAAAAGCGACTGCGACATCACATCAGCTGATTTCCGAGTGTTTGGACATGACATCATCGCCAGTATCGGTTCTTCATTGTTGCTGCCGCCTCAAACTTCTCTGACTTTCTCCAGAAGTCGTGTGGACTCTGAAACCTGAGCGTGTTTTTAAAAAGCACTTTCGATAATTACTGCCCACAGACTTTCCTGTTTCTTTGGGTGATAGAGAAAAGGCAGCGATAATTAGTAAGTATGAAACCGATGAGACTGGTTTTTAAGATCAATAATCAATTAAGTGAAAGAGAATGTGGAATAATACTGCCCTATAATCAACTCCATAAAAAGTATGGGTCATTTCAAACATTGTTCAATCTATTGTAGGAGGAATACAACCAGAGCAGGAAGGGGATGAGAATGGGAGGGAATCTCATCTTGTCTGTTTGTGTATTGTGTGTCTGTGTCTTGTCTGTCTGTGTATTGTGTGTCTGTGTATTGTCTGTCTGTATCTAGTCTGTCTGTGTCTGTGTATTGTGTGTATCTAGTCTGTCTGTATCTTGTGTGTCTGTATCTAGTCTCTCTGTGTCTGCGTATTGTGTGTCTGTATCTAGTCTGTCTGTGTCTGTGTCTTGTATATCTGTATCTAGTCTGTCTGTATCTTGTGTGTCTGTATCTAGTCTCTCTGTGTCTGCGTATTGTGTGTCTGTATCTAGTCTGTCTGAGTCTGTGTTTTGTGTGTCTGTATCTAGTCTGTCTGTGTGTTGTGTGCCTGTGTCTTGTGTGTCTGTATTTAGTCTGTCTGTGTCTGTGTCTGTGTCTTTTCTGTTTTGTCTATCAGTTTTGTCTGGTATAATTTTTAATATTAATTCATGACTGAATACTTTTTGTCAGTTACAGTTATATTTATTTTTACATTTATTATAACAATCTTTTCCAAACTTCTGTTGTTGCTGAAACCAACTAAGTGTAATAGATAATGTAATGTGCAGCACTGGGAGCAAGTGATGTCACGTGTCATTGGCTGCTAAGCCTTAAAACTGCGCAAATAAAAACAACTACAGTATGTAAAAAAGGAGAATGTGAAATATTGGTCTGGTCTAAAACACTAATAAATAGTAAAAAAAATTTAAAATAAATAAATAAAATACATTTGGTAAAAAAAAATTGTTCATCTAAACCAAATTTTGTATTTTCATAGATTTTGTTTTGTTTCTTGTGGTTTTGTCCGGTTCTTTTCAAATATTCACACGGCCCTTAAACATGATCTTGTGACGGTTAACTTCGACATTTCGTGTTTTTGAATGTGAGATACACTCATGTAGATCAGAAATGGATAAATATGAAATTTTGTAAGAGATTACCAGAATGACCAGAATGAGCCAACACCCTCATCTGGTGGTAGAACCAGGAAATTACGTGGTTCTAGATTTTGATCTGAATCTAACATGGCGTAATTCCTAGTTTAAGACTTCCTGTTTCTTGGCAATCAAAATAATTCTGGCAATGGAAATAATAATAATAATAAGGGAATTCTCTGAAGGAGCTCTGTCACAGTCGGACGAGTCCTCATTCTTACCAAATTCAGTTCAGACAGAAGGATGTGTTTGTGCCAAATTGCTCAAGACTTATCAATACTAAAAAAAAAACGATTCCAGCTCTGTTTTTGCTGCGGGACGATGTGCTCTTTCAAAATCAGACCACGTCCAGTTTTCACAATTGATCAACATTCCCCTGTGTACTTTAAGCTTAAACGTGATGCAAGAACCTTGAATTGTATTTCATTTATTTCTGACCATGGGACACTGTACTATAATGTACAGTAAGTATTTTCTACAATGATAAATTTGAAATAGTCTCTCCCCTTGGCATAAGTCCAGCTCCTACGTGTTTGTTATTATTGCATTTCCTGTGTTTTCAAACTGTTTGATTCTCTGATTTGTCGTTGGTGAATCGACAACTTCATAAAGTCCTTCGAAACGACTGCTGTTGTGGTTTAGGGCTACACAAAAATACATTTAACTGAAATGAACTCTGGCCAGTAAGTTGCAGGAGGAGAATAGTTAAACCAATGACGAGGATCCTCAAGGAAGTATCGGACATCCCCTTTAAATGCAGGTCCTGAAACACACCTGACAGAAGAGGAAGTAGACGCCGGCCTTCTCCACGGTGAAGGTTCCCTGCTCTTTATTGTACCTCACTGCTTTGGTCATATTGAGGGTCCGCTCTTCCCAGCCTTTAATCACTCCTCCGTCTCCCACTGCACACACAAGCCTCTGTTATTATGACAATATTATAAATCACATGAATGATGTCCTCGGAGACAGTCTGGAGGCCTTACCTTGCTGGGAGGACACTTTGGTGACTGGTGGGACGATGAAAAGCCATTTAGAAAGAAAAGGGGGAAGTCAATTAAGATTTTATTAGTGCAATTGTATAAGGCATATGATGAAACCACTTCAGCAGATGCTACTGCAGACCACTGTATGCAATCTGCCAAGCCACTTACTTTCAAAATGAGACGCGGCTTTTTTTCCATTCCCACTCCTCCCGCGCAGAGTTCCCCCTGCAGGAAGCACCAAAAGGGACTTTGAATGGAGGCAATGAAAATATGCCTGTGTGGGTTTTTTGATAAAACAATCATTCGCATCTGTATCTGTCAAATAACATGCTGCGTTCATTTGCAGCCATTAGGACTCGACCTGGCTCCTGCGTAATGCAGTCTGCAGATGGGCAAGGATTTCCTTTCACGTGCCTCAATATATTTCCTGAAAATGTTATTTTCAGTGCAAGAGTGTGCCCCTCTTTTCCCTGCTGGGCTAATCTCAGTGCCAGCTGGTTGCCGTCATGTAGAAAATACAGATCGCAGAGGAAGTGGGAGAGGATGAGGAGAGCGCAGAGAGAAGAGGCTCAGGACACGACTGTCACCGGACAAAACAACTGCTCCGCTCTTGATATGATCCTTATTTACTAACAGGCTGATACAAATGGCTTAGAGCGAGCGGCAATGAAAAAACCACAGTAGAATGTGAAAAATGAAGTGCCGGAAACAAGAGGTCTTTGGCCGAGCCAAGAGTCGATTAGGACAAGAGTGAAGCAAACTACAATAAATAAAGACCTCAAAAAGAGCGGCTCTGGAAAATGTGTACTCCTGTTACCCACCACGGTTTATTTTAGCCGTGCATTCAGGCCTCAGGGGAGTCATTAAAAGACAAATATAACCCAAACACTGCATGTATGAACTGTGAAATACATACTTTATGTTTGGAGACGGTGCAGGCCTCTACAGTTGTAGGAATATTAAGCCCCTGCTAAAATAACTCACAGGTGGGTGACCCCAGCTCAGATGGGCTCTGGGCGAGCGAAAGCCCTCGGGCCGGCCAGACTTTCCTGAATCAAGCTGTCAGTCATCAGGAGAACATAACAGCAGTGTCCTGCACGAGCGGTCAACTTTCCACTCACTGGAAAAAACACTTTCTTTCCACTGATAGCTGCGGGCGGCTTAATGCCTTTTGGAAGACAAGCTCAACAATCACTCTGCTCAAATACCTGCAGGATGTCAATATATGTATTCTGCTAATAAATCCTTTTGTCAGCTCTGGAACACTCCATCGCTTCTCTGCACTGTTGATAGTCACTCTGAAAAACACACACTATTTCTTTTCTTTTTGTGAGCATCATAAATATGGATGCAGTTATGTCTACTGGAATAGACTAATTTATGATAAAAAGTGAGATTCAAAGTTTAGTGCAAAGGTGGAAGTAATAAGAATGTGACTTTAAGGGAAAGGGTATATTTTGGATAAAAATGGATGTTTCTTCTGTGAATGTGAAGTATTATTTTCTTGTATTGTTATTGACAAACAGTCCAAGTCCATCAGCCCTCAACATGCAGTATAAGCCTCCATAGCAGCTCAAAAACATCAGTCCTGATGTGCAGAGGTCCCGTTTGGACCATAGACTGTATATATTAATGGACAGAGTCACGCCTATCTCCGCCGTTCTAACTAATGGGCCAGAAAATGTGCTCTACTGGAGCTATCCAAAATGGCCGCGAGTGGTCCCGCCCACAAGAAAATTGTGAAAAAACGCATCTGCGCATGCGTCAGCCGGCGACAGCTCCATTTATTTGAACGAGAGACTTAAAAAATTCACAGCAAGTAAACTAGAGTGGACCAAAAAATTCACCCCCCTCAGCATTGACACACATGTGGAACGGAGCTTTGGGCCAAGAGCCAACTTTTGGTCCATCCTGTAAAGACGTTTTTGAGAGGTCTGCCAATGCTATATGTTAGCATTGGCTAATTCTACTTCTGGGTCCACCCCCATCGGCCCGGGGTGGTATTGCAAGCATGTCAGCGCACGTCATTTTGGCCACTTTTGAGCCGAAACCCACCCCCACTGGTTCTGACAAACCGCAGCATCTCGGGATGCAAACAGCTGCTATAAATACACAGAAATGATGGCTCATCAAATATCCTCCATAACAAATCCTTGCAGAGTCAGTGGAGTGCTGCTGAGAGGAGAAATCAATGTCTTTGTCCTAAAGGAACAACAAAGCCTCACTGCACATCAGCCATTCTGGTCAGCCCTGTAATTTCTGGAACAGCCATTTTGCTGCCTACTTTTTCCTGTGTCGACTTTTAGCAGCGGGCAGTGCTGTGGGCTGCTGGGGCTGACCATCGTGGCATGTGGACCAACACTGGGCAGCGTTTGTGTTAAACGTTCTTCCCTCAAAAGCACAACCACACACATAAGTATTGTGTCTGCTGATGTGGGCAGCACGGCACACGCGATTGGTCAGCGCAGTGTGGGACAGAAATGCAATACCGTCTCTCTTGACTCTCTGGCCGACCAGCAGCTCTCTCTTCTCCAGAATGAGTTGAACAATGGCTTTCCTCTGTGTATTAACCTGTTGAAAGACAGAGACAAGTTCACAATGAACAAATGTGCGATGACTTTATTATGACTTTGAGCTGGCACGGCTCCCGCACAGCCAGACGCTCACATAAACAGCTTTTCCACTCTCTGCCCGGCCCGCTGCACATCAGCTCAGAGCACTTCCTCAGGAGAGTCGTTGCAACACCTAGTGTTTTCAGCCACTCAAATTCCTCACTACTTTTTTGACCGAGAAGTGGATTTTGTCAAGCCAGCAGCGATAAAGGCTGCTTGGCATGAGGTCCATTGCTTGACCGAAGGAAACCCATGTGAAGTAAGAAGAGAAGTGTATTTACTGCTACTGTGCGAGTTTAGTCTAGAGACTGACTGGCTCTGATCAGGACTTGGCTCTGGGTCAAATGGACGGAGAGTGGACCCATCGGGAAAGAGTCCAGCATCAACACTCACCTTCAGGGTGTTAGTGCACATGTGTGCAGCTCTGTCAACAGCACAGCTCTGATCCCAACTGGAACTCTGCTTTGTAAATATGGAATGTTGAATTCCATCAAGTCTTGGCCAAATCATTTAGTTTGTGATGCAACTTTGAAGCATGTGCTTATGACATTAAAAAGATAATCTCCTGTTGCCAGAGATCTATGTTATGACAAAGCTACATTTTATATCTGTGAAAGTACTTTTGGCCAAAATGGTGGAAATGGTCAAAGAAAGTAAAGTAAAGTGTATTACATGGGGTTGGGGGTTCATAAAGGGACCCCCAAGTCTACATTTGGATCAGTATCATCTGGTCGCCTGGGGCCCCCCTATAGGAGCCCGGGGAACCACACGCGCCGACAGACTCCTGAGTGTCACTGAATGTTTGACAGTAATTTTGGAAATCCTCTCCTCCCCAGAGCTTTGCCAGAACGGCCACATCCTTAGATCATGGATTGGCATAGTCAGTATATATTATATTATATTACTCGGTTTACTTTAGGGCTCCTGTATAATCGAATGATCAAAAAAACGTCCCAAGTTTAAAAAATCTTATTTGATTGTGAAGGCGAGAGTCAGCAGTTCAAACCTGTTGGTTCATTTACAGTGGGTTAGAGTAAGCTCCTGCCTCCATCGCGCCTCTGAGCGCAGTCAGTTGGGTACAACACACTCTCATGCCAAATATTTGAGGCTTTGCAGTAAATTGAGATAAAACTAGGCCTGCACAGAACTGGCACCAAAGTAATTAAACATGGCGGGGTGAGCAGTGACCACAAAAATAACACTGCACGAGTTGACTGCTCTTATTGGTGAGCCATAAAAGCGCCAAGTGGTGAGCCCAGCAGGAACAGTGCGTGCAGGGGGTCTGTGGATTGGAATAGCATTTTCCCCAAAATGCTGGCCCCACGCGAACATTCCCGTAACCACCGACAGTAAAGAGCCGTAACCTGTAACTCTTAACGTGCAGCAAAGTTACAGCTCCGTGGTGTCTGTTAGATGTGATATTGTTTATCTTGGCACCAACCTGCTCAAGTCGATCCTGCAGGACTTTAAAGGACTGAGAGAGGTCTCGGGTCTGACGCCAGGTCCACGCCGTGAAGAGCGCACTGCATGCGGCCAGGGACAGTGCTACGAGCGCCAGAGAAGCCCAGACCAGGCGCAGTTTGCGCACCCGTCTCCTCTGCACAAGCCGCTGCATGTTGCGCCGCTACTCGCCGCTGCACAAACCGAAGTCCTCCTTCATCCCCTCAGCCGCAGCGGCACAGAGCGTCCACTTGAGTCACGTCTGCACGTGTCCATCTGGCCGAGACGCACAACTATCAGCACCGTAGAAACTTTCTCCTTTAAAGTTGTGCGCTCCTCACGCCGTCCGTGGCAGAGCCATGTCCAGGAGCAGGGGACGCGCGGGGAGAGCGCGGTGCAACTGTTGCATCCTCGTCCTGACGCTCAGCCGCCGCAGCTCTGCTCTTCCTTTACAGCACCCGGGGGTCACTCTTGGACAGACCAAACACTGGAGACACGCACGTACGCACTCACGCACGCACTTGGAGCGGGCTCGTGTGATGCTGTGGTGAGCGCGTGCAGCTGCTGTAAAAGTCCAAATGAGCATGAAACCCGGAGCTGAGTCTGCTCTGCTCTCTCTGCTCCATCGCCACGCAAACACGCACCTGCAGCGGCCGCGAGAGGGCGCCTGCGCAGACAGACAGCTCAGAGATCAAAGGGACTAAACCAGGCCCAATGTTTGATGGATAGGGTCATTTAGCTCTGCACACAAGGAAGAGATATGGCAATGGAAAATAGTGCTATTTTTGTTTGTTCATAATGTGGTTAAATGACCAACAATGGTCAACGACTTGAACCAAAACACACTAAATGTATATTTGGTCGCCACAAATCCAACACAGACACTGTTCAGTATGATATGTTTTAATAACAGTTCTGAAAAGACATGGAGGTTCACAGTTCACTTTCATTCAATTCAAAACAAATAACATCTTCTCAACCCACTGTTCTGCACGAAAAACACTATACAACATTAAACACAGAATCCACATCTTGTTCACTTGGAAGCACTGAGACTAAGGAATATTGCAGCTCCTTACAGCTCCTTTGGTAGACTCAACTCACACATCCACTTTTGGCCATATTTGGGTTCAAACTGGCATCAGACCTCAGAAAAGTTGTATTTGCTTAGGGAATCACTAGAAGAATGCATGTGGGAACCTTGAGACTCTGATTTCTGAAGTTTAAAACGAGACAAATATAAATATGTGCATGCGGTGGACTTTTGGACAAGACCATGGCAGACGATTACATTAAGTTTTCCAAAGCAAGGTCGGTTTGTTCTACCATAATGAGGAAAAATAACAGAGAACAATTCTTTTTTCGGTAAACAACACACAAATTCCAGCATTCCCAAAGAGTCTCCGTGGCTCCTATTGTTTAGAGTGAGAGAAAAGACAGTCAGGCTGTTCTCATTACATTTCTGGACATGATACATAAAGATCTCTTTTAAAAATCAAACTGGATTCAAAACAGTGGGGCAGACTGGGGTTGAGCCATTCCGGGTTTAATGTGACAAGTTTAAAGACGTATCCAAGACGGCTATTTTGAATTTAGCCTGTGTAAACGGTCCAATGAACCCACATGACTCCACTGTGGTCTATCGTAATAATATACCTGTAAATGAAACAGTGCAAAAACAGCTTTGTGCAATAATAACCACATCATCTCATAATCTATTTTGGCATATTTTTGCATTAACATTTACATATTCATTCCAAAGTTTATACTAAAACACCCACAACGTGCATTATGGCTATGGGAGATTCACGTCATCGCTTCAGTCTTATTCAAATTTAAAATGATTTAAATATGTAAAATGTGTGGAATCGCGTAAACACACAACAGTACAGTCCAGACGCATGGAGTGCCTCAGTTTAATAGTTACTTAAGCTTATTTAGTATAATTTATTTAGATAACATATGATAATAATATTGCTTTTCCTCTGTAGTTAATGTAGTATAAAAACGTTCAAATGGCCCAGTTTGTGCATATATGTAGTTGTACCGCTGGCCACTAGATGGAGCCGTTCCTCTGTTGTGCGCATAGAAGTGGCTGTTTGAGGTTATGGTTGTGCCAGGCGCTCCAGAGCCTCTCCCTTACAGGTCATGTAGTGGTATCCCATCTCCGCGGTGGTATCCGTGCAGCCCTGACTGAAGTAAAAGTCCAGAGAAGACTTGTTCCAGTCCAACACAGTGAAGTTCAGCTGCTGACAGCCGGCCGCCATGCCCAGCTTCACGACAAAACAATACAAAAGAATTAGGACGACGATCAGAGCATTTATATACTGAAGAATTAGCATGGAGATCACTATACAAGCAAGAAAATGACTATATAGGGGAGGAAAATGTAAGGATGGATCACTTTGAGTGCATGAATGTTTTAATGGATTTTAAGTTATTTTATTGTAAAGCACTTTGGTCGCTTTGAGTGTTGAAAAGGGCTGTATAAATAAAAATGTATTGAAAAATGAATTGATTGTCATCAACCTTGTACTTTCATCCATTTGTGAGAATGGATAAAATATATAATAATTAGTGATGGGTTAATTTCTACCAAGTGAAAAGATCTACAAACGTTTTAAGTACGGCCCATGTTCCAACCATTGTTCATTTTTGTTTTACCAAATTGAGAATGCTTGTGGTTAGCTAAAGTGAGCAGCCACGTCAAAAGTGGCAGAAATGTAGGTCAATTATAATCTTGGGTCATAATGAAAGTAATAATGAAAGAATAAACTGCTTCACATAGAGGTGTCTAAAGGGTTAGATCCGTGAGAGAAGAGACCAGGAACACACACTGCGCCCCCTTGTGGTGCAAGATTGCTGAGAAAATATAGAAACTGACCATTACCGAGCTGAGTAGACCAAGCATGACGTTCTCCGTGTAAGTTCATGAGCTTTTTCGTCTTTCAATAAAGCAGTTAGATGAAAGAAGACAAAATGAACTTCCTCGGACTGGGCTGAGACGGAATTGCGCAATAATTAAAGGAAAAAGTGAAGTGCACAGGTCCACTAGCTGAACAATTGGGGCAATAGACAGTGAATTACACACACCAAATACCCATTAACAAAGGTACTTGGAGAATACACAGTTAAAAATACACACTGTCCCATCCTGCTTTGTTAATAAGTAAGGTAGTACTTACTTACTTAGGTAGTTTCATAAATATTACATGTTTATTGATCTGAAAGATGAACCAGAGGACAAAAAATACATGCACATCAAGGTGAAGTACTAAACTGAGAGGGAGGAACTGGTAGTAAGATGGATTTTATCTCATAGTTCCATATCTGATGGTTTGAAAGTGACGTACCCCAGATTTAATGTACGTAAGTAAAGTACAGACACCAACTAATGATATTATTTTAGCACTTGTACTTTCATTCCACCACAACTCTCTTACCTGGGCGACTTTGCTCATCAGCGCCTTGCCAATGCCCTTCCCTAAAAAGATGTAGGTAAAAAATATAGCCTATTATTACCAGCTGCATTGTGGGTACATACTCACATATTTATTAAACAAATAAAAAACGTTACCTCTAAATTCAGGCATCACATAAAGATCTTCCATAAAAACAGATCTTCCCTTCCATGAGCTGTAGGAGAAGAAATAAAGTGCGTATCCCACCTTGGTATGGCCTGAAACAAGAACAAACAGTAAAAAGAATCAATCAAAAAACAATGTCCAATATTAATATTTACAGTATAGTTTTTATTCTGATATTTATCTAACATATGGGAGCAGTGTGTGTCTCAGCTAGTCTAGCCTATTATTACTATTTTGCCCATTGTCCATGATTAAAATGAACATAAAATGTATAAAACACGCTGAGGTTACTAAACTTAACCCTGGTTCTTTGATAACAGATAACTTCCTGCCATACCATCTGAAACCATTATTAGACCATCATAAAATTGTCCAGAATAAGAAAAAAAAACGTGTATTCTTTAAGATGCAGGGACAAGTCAATGTATTAACAGTTTAAGAGGCTTTTCCTCGGTTGAACAGCTGAGTGGGTGGGCTGCGCCGTGGGCAGTGGAAAAAGGCAACATTTAAGTGGTACATAATGGAAGGGCCCTGTGTATGGAAAAGTGTTACGTAAGAAATGTGCATACGACAGTGGCACTTATACAATGAAACAAGACAGAGGTTGTGTGTGTGTGTGTGTCGGAGTGTGCATGTGTGTGTGTGTCTGAGTGTGCGTGTGAGAGAGAGATAAATATAGCACAAAAACATATAAATATATAAAATAATTGCGACACAGTGATGCAGTGGTTAGAGGTTGTGCATCACAGCAAGAAGGTCCTAGGTTCTGTGTGGAGTTTGCATGTTCTCCCCGTGTCTGCATAGGTTTCCTCCAGGTGCTCCGGTTTTACCCTATCACTAAAAACATAGGACTGAATGTTGTGAGAGAGTGAATGGATGGTGTTGGTTGGGGGCTTTGATGCACAGTGTGTGGAGAGAATGGAAAAATATACTTACTGACAACAACAAAAATTCAAATCATTCAATTCAATAACCCTTGCATCTGCCCCCACTCTCTTGATTAACCAGAAAACCAACATTTATTCTCTTCTCTCACCTTCTTTGGTTTTGTGCTGCTCGGGCACTTCGACAATGATCCCATGGAAGAACGGGTTTTTGGAGAAGCCATCTTGTTCCAAATCTGGAAGTAATTTGGTAAGAATTAGGGTTCTGAAACAGCAGTTACATATGAATCTGTATCTTTGAAGTAGGGTAACATGTAAATAGGAAGTAAAAAACAAAACATAGCTGGGAACATTCTTTGTGCAATAGTTGCCACCACAGGATTGTTCTTGTTGTTGGATGTATATCTTATGCTCAGCCAAAGGATACATTCTGGTACTTTAAAGCTGGGGTACTTGACTTTGAGACTACACAAAAATTTAACTGTGTAATAAAATCGTAATAAAAACCCTAGATAAAATCCAGTTTGCTTCTATCACTAGTTTTCACATGTATGTATTTTTGGCCTGCGTCACATCTTTAGCTTTAGCTTCAGAAAAGTGAATAAGAGTGAAGAAGATTGTTTGTTGGGACATTTTTTTGTATTGCAAATTATGAATAATCCAAGTTAGGTACAGCAGCTTTAAATGACATGGTTTACATTTATACAAGTGTGAAAGAGGGGTTTGCAGGTCTTTCCTTCCTGCTGCTGTCAGACTGTACAAGGAACAATGATGACAGTTGAACATGGCTGAGCTGAACAAACATGTCATGCATCTGTGCAGTATGGGACCAAATGAGTCCACTGTCACTGCTACCCCAGAGCCTCATGCTGCTAACATTTACACTAGTGTCATCCCTGTGAATATTTGAACCCTCAGAGCTAATAATACACAACCTCAATATTCTCACAGAAGAGTGTATTACAGATATTAATAATAATAATAATGCATCGGTTTTATATAGCGCTTTTTTGGACACTCAAAGACGCCTCACATGTTCTTTCACTCCAAACAAGGTGGTGATAAACTACTACTGTAGCCACAGCTGCCCTGGGGCACACTGACAGAAGCGAGGCAACCAGTATGCGCCATCGGCCCCTCCGACCACCACCAACCATTCACACACACACCAGACTCATTCTAGGCAATGGGGGTGAAGTGTCTTGCCTAAGGACACAACAGCAGTTTGGCACTTTACAGCCGCCCCACTGTGGCTGGTGTTCCCAGAGGTTAAGTGTCTTGCCCAATACACAACGACAGCAGACAGTGGGAGTCGATAGTGAAAGTCGGGCTCGAACCCACGACCCTCTGGCTCAAAGGCCAATGCTCTACCAACTAGCTACTGTCGCCTGTTAAATATTAAAGGAGCAATATGTAATATTTGCATGTCAAGTCATCATTAAATGACCCGAATATTTCAAAAGGCATTAATAAATCATGTTCTTTTCAAACACATCTTTAACTGATAACAGTAGTTCATCCGAGATATTGGATTATCAAAATTAGTTTTACGACCCGTAAAAGTTGTTATTGTTTTGATTTTGATGTCCTACCCTTCGCCGTTTCGCCAATCAGGAAGTGTCATGTAAGTCCGTGATCGGGTTGCCAGAACTCCGCGAGGCTCACTAATCTCAGAGGTAAAATAACATGAGGCGCAGAACTAAAAAAGGTCTTGTTATGACTCTCAAATCATTAATGACAAAACAAAGACTAAAACGAGGATTTATATCGGGACGCCTTTGAACAATTGAGACAGCTGATAAAAGTTTACGTGTGATGCAGAATTTGCTAGTTTGAGTCCGTTCTTCACAGTGACTCTAACTGTGTGAATCGGTGGTCTAGTGGTCAAAACTGAGTGCTTATGATGCAGGAACCCGGGTTCGATTCCGGGCTATGTCTTTTTGTATTTATTGCATGTTATCACATTCTATGACAGATTGCTCTAAAAACGGTAAAAGACGAAGGTCAAGACGTTTTTTTTGCAGATTATAGCTTAATTGTAAAAATAATCATTTAAGACCACATGTACCCCAATTAAAATAATGTTAGTCTCTTTTTGATGTGGGACTTTTACATGTTTGTCTAAAAAATAGGGAATAAATAAAATTGAAAGGTGATATCCTCTTGAGCAAACCCTGATGTTGATACGTTGAAGAAATACGTTCCAACATCCATTCTTCCCACTCCTATTTTGGACATCAATTGCTTTTGTATTTTGCATAAACTATGTCTAATTACATTGCTTTTATTTTGTTTTTGTTTTTTATCTCAAATGTCCAAATAATAATAATAAAAAAACATGAATCAAAACATTCATTCAGCATTAGCACGGCTGTCATGGCAATGTGAATGGAGACGGACAAACAACTGATAAAATAATTCCCTGTGTTTGCTGCTGGATTTGGTGTGAATCTGGCAACCTGAGTCAGGGAGAGTGGGAGAGGACTACAAAATATTGACTGTGACTGCAGTACCACTTTTGGCCAGATTTTTACATATTGTTCCTTTAAGTATTTATTTGCGCTAGATTTGTACCTTAACTGTTTATACTTGGTTTCTTTATTTTTATATAGTAAATTCTCTATACGTATTTTTCCCTTTTCTCTCTCTAAAGTATATAGTGCAATATTTTACACTCATTTATCTCGTGTTGTGTGCTTCTCATTCCTACTATGCTGTCATTTGTGATGCAACAGACATTTCCCCACACTGGGACGATAACAGGATCTCATAATGTGGAGTTTACATAATGTGACTTATCCTGTTATCCATACCTCTTTGTGTGACTTTGACGTGGTCTATGACTTTCTCATATTCCGCCAATTCCTGTAAACAACACACATATGGACTGCACGTTATATATAGGCTATAGGCAATTTTATATGTATAGCACAGTTCAGACAGACACAAGGAAACAGTATACAACAAGAATAGAAGTAGCAGTAGAAGCAGCAGTAGCAGTAGCAGTCGCTGGGAGCTGGTTTGTTTACATGTTTGGACTTTGCACGCGCTCGCTCTGGGCCGCAGCCACGTGCTCTTCGGAAGTGACTGACCGTGATCATACGTGCGATGTCCTTGCAGTCGTCCACGTTGGCTGCGCGGATGGTGAAGTCCATGTGGCTGACGTGGTGGCGGTGGTCTGGTGGTGGTGGTGGTGAGGATGAAGAGGAGGATGAGGAGGAGGATGAAGGCTGCAGAGAGCTCGGACTTGATGGCGCGCGGACGATGTGACAAGGACGCGCGCACAGAGAGGAACGTGCTGGTGCGTAGAGTGACGTAGAGCCCACATGCTTACAGCCACAGATTGGAATTGGCTGCTTTGAATAGAGGCGTTCCGACCATACAGTGCATTGGTTTGGATCATTGTTTTGATCTAGCGTGGGTCCAGGAAGTTAACGGACACTAAAAATCTTCTGACTTTGTAGAACACAGAACCACGTGAATATTCTCCTTCCACCAGGAAACAGAGCTGCTGTTGTCACCCACACAGTCCTCTCTTCAGTCTCCTGGTCTGTCTGCCTAAACTCTACTAGGTCCACTACAGTAAATAAAATAAAACATTCAGAAAATACCTCTTATTATAAAACACTGCACCACAGGTGAACTCCACAGTTCAGGTCCTTCACAGACATGGATCACAGACTGTTCTTCAGCGAAGCTCGTACTGAGTGACATTCATTTGTCAATACACCATTTCTATATTCCAATGACACAGTGTTCATTTGATAAAACAAAATAATCTAAAGAAGAGAAGGATATTGAATCAAACCAGCAAGTGGCATTGAACGGCCCTCGTAGGCCACATTGCCATGGACTGTGCTGCCCCTCATCTCCAAGTGAGGTGGGACTGACGCGCCCTCATCCGGGCTATAATGGTGATAATGAATATGATTTGAGTGTATGTCCATTGAGTAACATGGGAACATGTTGCTATGGTAATAGTTCCTCTGCTTGTACATGGTTTAAATCAGTGTTTTTCAACCACTGTGCCGCGGCACACTAGTGTGCCGTATGATATTGTCTGGTGTGCCGTGAGAAATTCGTCTACTTTGTCTAAAAATAACTGCATTCGCTGTTGACGAGCGGTGACTTGTTTTGAACTGTGGAGTAACCATGTAATACTTTTTCAAATCAGTAGATGGCAGCAGATAGCTAAGTACTTTGAAACTGAAAAATTGGATGCGACCACTGGCTACAGGTCAGCATTGTGGCGAGAAAGGTAAAATTGGATGCGACCAACAAATGTGTGAGGGAGCGAGACAAGAGCTTTGTGGCGAGTGAGAAGTGAAAGTGATAGAGACGTTTTTGAAAATGAATTATGCCGTTTCTGAACAGGATTAACATCCTCCGCTCTGCCCCGGGGCAGCTGTGGCCGCGTTGTAGTGGTTTAACTATGAAATATACAATCGCGAACGCACTTCTGAACTGGGTACCGAGCGCAGACCATAGTCGAGTGGACAGAACCACAGACATGCGGACCGGACAGAACCATAGACATGCGGACCGGACAGAACCATGGACTCGCGTTCAGGACCTCCCGTGTCCCTCATCCAAAACTCCTGAATTTAAAGCTCGGATACCTAAATTTTTCCCATGCACTAACAATGCATGTTCTTTGTGTGAGTTATTTGACTATTTGGGCAGAGAGTGGATTTTCTTAGTTTTTTTCCACACAGTTAGTGCCACTTTATTCCCAAACTCTTGTTAATTGTATCGAGAAATATTAAATAAAGCTTAATGTCAAGGCCTGGACTTAAGCATTTTGATGAGAATAACTGTATATTGTGAATATAGGCTACAGAGTATACTGTATACATTATAAGATAAGATAAGATATACTTTATATATCACACAGAGTATGTACAGTATATATTTTTACATTAGTACTGTATACATTTTTACGTTTTCTCCTGGAGGTGTGCCGCAAGATTTTTTCAGTGAAAAAAGTGTGCCTTGGCTCAAAAAAGGTTGAAAAACACTGGTTTAAATCATTGGAATCTCCAGATGATGTTTGAGCCCCGTCAGTGGCCTGTGTGGAGACAGTGTAAGAATGAGCTGTCAATTTGACAACTTTCATCATACTCCTTTTTACACACATTAGTATGTCAACATCAATCATTGTGTTAAGTTTCAAATAATGAAGGATCGCTTACAGCATGTAAGGTCTGTGACCAAATAATGTTTAGGGTTAGGGTGAGTACAAACATAGAATTTGTTAATTACAAAAATAGATGTGCTAGTCATTAGTAAACAATAGTGATGTTTATCAAGTATATTACACATTACACACTGCCTTTAGTTACTGTTGCTACTAAATTCTATTGCTTCTACTTTCATAGTCCATTTAAGGATTTAATTTTCTCAAAAATATAACGATTCCATATTAGCTGTGATCTGACTGATTGATTGACAGCTGTTGTTTCTGGTGACACACTGTTGAACTATAATAATACATTCATTGTTCCACACAAATTGAATTGCAGACGTCATGTCGTGACTCAAACCCTATATCATGTTTATTCAAGGAAAACAAATATTTAATGTGACTTCAAACAAAACCACAGGAATAAATAATTTAGAGAGCAGAGGTTCCCAGGGATTTTGTCCCAAGTATCTTCTACGTTTCAGGACAAATATGTAACGTACAATGGAATCTCGGAAAATTAGAATATCGTTCTGAAGTCCATTTACTTCTGTAATGCAACGTACAATGTGAAACTAATATAAGACTCATTATGCACAACGTGAGATATATCAATCCTTCGTTTGTTATAATTTTGACTACTATAGGTCACAGCTTGTAAAAAACCCAAACGAAACATCTCAGAAAATTTTGAAATCGACAAAATGATTTAAAAAACAAAAATAAAACAAAGGCTTGGCATATAGTGCCTTGCGAAAGTATTCGGCCCCCTTGAACCTTTCAACATTTCGACACATTTCAGGCTTCAAACATAAAGATATAAAAATAAAATTTTTTGTCAAGAATCAACAACAAGTGGGACACAATCGTGAAGTGGAACGAAATTTATTGGATAATTTAAACTTTTTTAACAAATAAAAAACTGAAAAGTGGGGTGTGCAATATTATTCGCCCCCCTTGCGCTAATACTTTGTAGCTCCACCTTTTGCTGCAATTACAGCTGAAAGTCGCTTGGGGTATGTCTCTATCAGTTTTGCACATCGAGAGACTGGAATTCTTGCCCATTCTTCCTTGCAAAACAGCTCGAGCTCAGTGAGGTTGGATGGAGAGCGTTTGTGAACAGCAGTCTTCAGCTCTTTCCACAGATTCTCGATTGGATTCAGGTCTGGACTTTGACTTGGCCATTCTAACACCTGGATACGTCTATTTGTGAACCATTCCATTGTAGATTTGGCTTTATGTTTTGGATCATTGTCCTGTTGGAAGATAAGGACATAGATAGGGACATCTTCCCTGTCCCTGCTGAAGAAAAGCAGGCCCAAACCATGATGCTGCCACCACCATGTTTGACAGTGGGGATGGTGTGTTCAGGGTGATGAGCTGTGTTGCTTTTACGCTTTGCATTGTGGCCAAAAAGTTCGATTTTGGTTTCATCTGACCAGAGCACCTTCTTCCACATGTTTGGTGTGTCTCCCAGGTGGCTTGTGGCAAACTTTAAACGAGACTTTTTATGGATATCTTTGAGAAATGGCTTTCTTCTTCTTCTTGCCACTCTTCCATAAAGGCCAGATTTGTGCAGTGCACGACTGATTGTTGTCCTATGGACAGACTCTCCCACCTCAGCTGTAGTTATCTGCAGTTCATCCAGAGTGATCATGAGGCTCTTGGCTGCATCTCTGATCAGTCTTCTCCTTGTTTGAGATGAAAGTTTGGAAGGACGGCCGGGTCTTGGTAGATTTGCAGTGGTCTGATACTCCTTCCATTTCAATATAATTGCTTGCACAGTGCTCCTTGAGATGTTTAAAGCTTGGGAAATCTTTTTGTATCCAAATCCGGCTTTAAACTTCTCCACAACAGTATCTCGGACCTGCCTGGTGTGTTCCTTTGTCTTCATGGTTCTCTCTGCGCTTTAAACAGAACCCTGAGACTATCAAAGAGCAGGTGCATTTATACGGAGACTTGATTACACACAGGTGCATTCTATTTATCATCATCAGTCATTTAGGACAACATTGGATCATTCAAAGATCCTCACTGAACTCCTGGAGTGAGTTTGCTGCACTGAAAGTAAAGGGGCCGAATAATATTGCACGCCCCACTTTTCAGTTTTTTTTTTTGTTAAAAAAGTTTAAATTATCCAATAAATTTCGTTCCACTTCACGATTGTGTCCCACTTGTTGTTGATTCATGACAAAAAATTGAAGCCTGAAATGTGGCGAAATGTTGAAAGGTTCAAGGGGGCCGAATACTTTCGCAAGGCACTGTATATGTAATTCGTCTATATCATATTATATATATGTTGAACAATTATCATTTTCTGAGTTTCATCTGTATTTGGATGATAAATAGTTAAAATAAAATAAGATAAAATTGTCCATTACACTGTTTGTTTCTGAATGTATTCAAAACATTATGGTTGAGCTATAGTATAGAGAAACCTATTCCCTGTAAGTGCTCGCATATACCATACCATCATCACGGACCAGATCTTGTTTATGATCTGAAATAGACTCTTATGGCTATAACATATGGCTCTGTAAAGCAGTCTTGCCTTATTCAGGTTGTAGCTTTTGGACCCAGCCCTAAACACACAGGACAAATAACGGTTTTACTTGAGGCCTAAAAATAACCCACACATTGCTCCCAGTACAGTAACTTTCAGTAAAGATCAGGGTGGGGAGGAAATGGAGTGTGGAGCCCGGGGGATTTTCAGCCAATCCTCCCAAGTCCAACCCTCTCCTGAAAATAAGGTCGCGCACGGGGCTATTTGTAGGTGCAGTGAGACGGTTACGGGGTCCTGCTTCTCTGAGTAATGCTGCTTTCAATGGAAACAAGCTGAAAACAGAGAGAGCTGCCCCCGCTGTCATCAGAGCTCTCCACGGGTCTCTGCTGCTGACGGAGACTGGCTGACGTGGGCAGCACCGGAGCAACCGTCGTAACGCTGTAGTCAGTGTGAGTCAGGATTTCTGCTGT